TTCCATTGAAGAAAGAAAAAAATATTGTGGGATAACAATATATAAAACATTGCGGAACAGACCGTTGCGTGTAATGAAAATCAAGTTCGCGGCAATCCGGCTTATCTGCGCGAAATCGTTGCGCTTCTGCGGAATATCGTAGACCGCAGCTCCCATAATATAAAGCAATAAAATACCGACTTTATGCGCGCAGCGGCGCGGTGTCCTCGATGCGTGTGCTGGACTGTGAAAAATCGCCATCGTCCATGCCAATCGGCATTGTGCATCGGGGGGATGAACGGGCAACGGGACGAAAGGACAAAGTGGTGTGGCGGATTGATTTAACGGGAATTTCGCATACCCCGAGTTTCAGTATGACGAATTTCTGTGCGGAAAGTCGCAGAAAGAAGAGAACACCAAATTTTCCTCGTTTTTCGTTAAAATATCGAGAAATTTCTATCATTTTAAATATGAACAAAAATATACTAGCGTATTATTATTACGTTTGTAAATACATTTCTGTGTATTTTCTCAATGTTCTTTCTTTGTATTTGCTTCCGGAAACTATAAAATAATATTAGCTATTCTTTCACTGAAAAAGTCAATATATGTATTTAATGTAGCAACAATCGATAATTTTCTACGTGCCTATACCATGTATTATATTCACTTTTTCTATATTTTTTTATTCATAAATTAAAATTGATTATGCGAAATTATATGACGAAGGCTTCAATCATTCGTGCGGGAGCCTTTGATAATCTTTGATAATCTCGTAGATTTCTATCATTCTTCCTCATATACCCGATATCCTTGTCCCAATTCGATCATTTAAATAGAATATAGTTTTCAACCTCGCGTCTCGCGGGAATCATCCTCGTCGCCGTCGTCGACATCGTCATTGCCGTCCTTCGGATGCTTGCGCAAAGAACGCTTTCCGGAATTAATACACAAAATTTGCCAGCCTCTACGTGACGCGCCGAGCCGGACGTCATTCGCAATTAGCGCCGTTAAAGAGACAAGGCGAAGGAACGGCGCCTAGAACGCCGTAAAAGCCAATGTAAAAATGTGTATGTGTGCACTTTTTCTCAGAGAACCGCGATTACGCTGTAATCATCGGCATTATAGTAATTATGCCACAGAAACGAATCATACCAGGACTCCCAGCAGCGTATCTATTGTCGCGATCTTGTAAACGAATGGGATTAGTATATTTCAGGGAAGTATATCTTATTTCTTCTTGTGTATATTTTTATAGTTATATTATTGCTTTTATGAAATAAGGAAATTTCTTTACTTATAAAACCAAGCAAAATAATATATTAGTACAACACAATTCTGCATAAAATATTCTTGTAAACTTACACGTAGAACTGATCTTTTCTTAAGTATATAAGACAAATTGCAAGCTTATTTGATGCTAAAAATTAAAAGGGCTTAGTAATTAAAGGTCTTGTTTTAAACATATTAAATATACGTATAGAAGCGCCTACATGTATATAAACGTATAAAGAATTTTTTTTCGCAAACAAAAACTTAATAAACGCACATTATTCTAACGGTATGTAACGGTTGAAAATCGCCGGTTGTAAAGCAGCCGCCGTCTAACAACTGCGAGAATCCAGGAAGAGAGTGCAACAAAACGATACATCAAGAAGAGTACCGATAATACTGAAGAATGCACGTCGCATTCTAATTTTAACTTGCGGATTGAATTTTATTCTCGATTGACAATGACGAAAATAGATACACAAGATTTTCAAAAGAAGTAAATTGACAGTTAAAAAATAAAAAATTATTTTTATAAATGAGAAATATGAATTTTATTTTCGCGAAATTTTCGTTACGCAAATTAATAGAGAAACAAAAATTCTCTTTCAAAATTATCTCTTTTCATTCTTTTTTCACAAAAGCATGCACACACAAATTATTTATCTTAGATTCTTTTATAAAGCATTAGAAATAATTTGTACCAAAGATTTATAATGCAACAGAAATCGAGGTAATGGATAAAGAAAACCAGGTAAGGTCATCGATCTCGACTTGGATAAGTTGTAATACACCGTCAAGATTAACATCGTGAATAATTCACGACTTTAATCGCATGTTAATTATTCATCGACCGCGAAAATCAGCGTGTGAATAACGGATCTTCCAGTTTGGTGTATATATTTGATACAGAAATATTTTAGAGACGAAGGAATACTACCGAGACAACATTATAATTAATCAGAATCGAATATTATGTAAACATTACAGGCCATAAATAGAAATACCGTGCATTTTTTATGAAGAATTCGGACAACGAGAAAGCTATAAATATGCGAAAGGTGATTCGACTGGCCACGATATAATCATATAAATCATGCGCGAGATATTCCAACCGTAACCTCAAACAAATTTAGCAAGGTCGAGTAAAGATTGACTGCAAATTGTGCGGTTTAAAGAATGATTAAAAAATAATAATTATATTACATCGAAACAAAGATCATATCAATAAAAAAATCTTGATCGTCTTCGAAAACTTGAAAAAAATTTGAATTGAAAAAAGTCAATTCAAATATATTAAATAATATTCAATATATAATTATTTTTTATTTACTTATTTGTTTCTTGAATAAAGAATATTCGTGAAATAAGGTCAATTTACGTCCATAGTGATATATAATTGTTTTATAATAATCAGTTTAGTACATCTAAAAATTAATATTTCCCATAAAATCTATTTATTTAGTTTGACTTAATATAAGATTATTTGTTATCACAAACATTATTCAACTTTATTAGAACGATCTAACATTGACAGCACTAATCTCTGATAGAAACTAAATTCAAGTGACTATTGATCAAGTCTATTAATTCGGACTATCGAGTGAATCGACATTTCGGCAGAATAGTCAGCGAGTTTTCAATGGGGAATTGTTGCGGAAGCATACGAGACGGAACTACATGTAAACCGACGGTTTACATAATAGTACCCGTCCATACATATGCACTGGCGCGTGTATCACATGCGTATACGACTCATCGAGCGTTCCTCGATGAGTCACAGCGAGCAAAGATAAAACAATTTACCTGATGGCGCACAGTTTATCAGGCTCGCGACATATTCGCGACGCGTAAAATGATGCACGAGCGTTCCATCGTGATGCAAATCATAATGAATCCGCAGACGAAATTCGTACTTACGAACACATTCGTACATACGAGAAAGTCACGTTTATTTCCTTGATAATATTCGATCAAGCAAATTAATCCTTGAATGGAAAACTCTTTTGAAACTCCAAATATAGAAAATTCTTATTTCCTTTTTTTCCATTAAATACTAATATTTTTTTCCGCCTAATGTATGTACATATAAAAAGATTTAGTTTGAGAAATATTTTATCTGAAATTTGTAATTCTTTTGTTTCAATAATTTCAATAACGAAATCAAGAGGATTCCTCTCTTTTTCCCTTTAAGGATTAAGGACAAGAACAAAAGAGACATTGATCGAGCACTTTCAGTCATTTAGGCATGTCGGGTATGTGTGAGATTTATTTACTTTCATTGAAAGAAGCTACGAATAAGAGAAAAACGTGTCCGTTAATACTGACGATACAAATTTTGTTGAGAAAGATCTGTCAAATTAAGCAGAAGAAGCTATATCGTCGATGACTCTGCATTTAGTAGTTGAAAAGACTATTAAACTATTAACAAGTTGAATTATTTAATAAAACTCCTAAATTTACCGAGAAATTCTGGAGCATTGAAGCAATACGCTGATTAAAATAGTAGCATTTTTAAGAACAGAGCATGTTTACAAAGAAAGCTGTGCGTTCCACACTGATTGAAAATCTATAATTATAAAAATCTTACTTGTGTGTTTTTTAAATCAGTTATTCATTGTAAATTGAAAGATAAATCGACCGAGTAAAATAATCCTTTTAAATGTATTCAAGGTTACTCCATAGAGCCTGTATAGAGCCTTTGCCATTGCACTTCCGTTCGATATATTGAATGATCCCAAATGAATGCTTTTAAAATACAAACGCGACACATCATGCTACCATACGAGATGCGCAGGTGCGTCCGCAGCGACCAGTAGCAAGTAAGGCGACAAATACATTTGTAGAAAATGCAATAATTTTCCAAAACGCATTTCGTGAATGTTGAATTGTTGCGCGTAAGAAACTGATAAGAAAACCCTGTGCCTAACAAATATTCAAGGTTACACTCAATGATGATTCAATGCAAGGTATAATAATCGCTGTTCTGAGTATTGTTAAGAGCTCCGTAACTGGTAACCAATTAGTAGTTTTAATCGTGACTAAAAAACAACATTTATAAATCCCTCTTGGAAAATCATATTGTATTTTCAAATTTTTTCATACTTTACTATTTTCACCATTCGATATAATAAATGACTTTAATTGTGACACATCCCAGATAATCAAGCATATCACGGAAAATAATTAATTTTATGTAAATTGGCATAACATAAATGGCTACTAATAATAGGAAGTCTTGATCGGCCGTTTATTACGAAATTCTCGCTCGTAACTAAACGTACAATGTTGACAGTTAAAGAGTTAAGCTCGCTAAAGGTGTGATTTTATTGGCTTAGAAACACACGTTACAAATCCGTATCCGAAGATCTCCTCGAGCGAACCGGGCATGAGGTACCGGGCATAGACGTGGTCCGGAACAGAAAGAAGCTAAGAAATCGGCGAGCAAGCCAAGATCAGGCAGAAGCGAGCGAGAGCGAAAGAGAAAGAGAAAGAAAGAGAGAAAGAGAGAGAGAGAGGCAGAAATGCGAGAAGCGGTGTAGGAGGAAGAAAAAGAGAGGAAGAGGTGCAGAACAAGGAGGGAGATAAGGTAGGTAGAGTCCAAGAAGGGCGGCGAAGAGAAGACTAAAAGAGGGGCCCCTCCCGGTGGCATGATCGGCGAAGAGGGTCGGGGCCCCCTTGCACGATCCTGGCCGTCGGCCACGGGTGGGTAAATGGGTATATAAGCGGGGCCCCGGCGATTCCATCTCGACACACGACCCAACCTTCATCCCGATCGCCAACGGTCCTTCGCCGAACAAGCGTAATCGCACGCGCGCGAAATAAAAAAGAGAGAGGGAAGACAGAGAAAGGAGAGACAGGGAACCTCCCCCGCGTTCTTTCGTTTCTCCGATCGATCGCGCCCGATCAAATTGTTTCGCGCGAACCGGTGAGAAGAGCCGATCCCGCAGGAGCAAGAGAAGCCGTGAAGAAGAAGTCGCCACTGTGCCCGACGCCAACTCGACTGGCAAGAGTTTCCACGTTTACACGGAGGAGAGAAAAAAAGACGTAAGTACCACAGTTCCGCTTTTTCTCTCTCTCTCTTTCTCTCTTTTTCGCAAAGTTTTACCATCCCTCGAAGAAACTTCTCCGCGCGATGAAAAGACGATCTTTCGACAGAAACCCGATGAGCCCTATTAACTACCTCGGATTACTCGACTCGACATTTTGATCGATCAAAAAACAAGTTGTTTTTTCATCGAACGATCTTAGACACTGGCATTGCGCGCAAACCGATTCAACGAATACTCCGCTCCGATAATCGATCACATAAACATTAAATGAAACTCTTTTTTCACTTTTGACGCGCTATCGATTTATTATATTTTTTTCAATCCTATACAAAGTTGCTCTCTCACCCTCTCTCTCTCTCTCTCTCTCTCTCTCTCTCTCTCTTTTTCTCTCTCTGTAGTTTAGCTCCGAAATGAATTGCGCGACAAACTCCGCTGGCGCCGATAATCGAGACCGGTCGATGAAATCTCGAGTCGCAGTGACATGTGCGGTCGACAGACGCGGTTGGTTGGACTCGGCACGATTATTACGCCTCGCATTTGTGCGCGGGAGACTTTTCTCGAGGCTTGCAGCTAACTGCTGTTTTTCTTTCGCAATACGCGTAGGACTTGCGGTGCCGAGTCGCGCGGGCCTCGCCGCGACCGGCGACAGAGATAGTTTTGAAAGTGGAGCGCGATAATGCTATTGTTCGCCGTCCGCGCTTGTATCCGTTCGTTCAATTAGTCAGGGCGCGGCGCACGCGGATTTTCGAAATAGCGAACGACGACAAAATGCGTCGACAAACGCTCCCCATGTCGCTATCAAAGAGGATTGCAATCCGTTTAATTCAAATCATTAAACCATCATTTTGTACTGGAAAACGATTTTTTTTTAAATCATATAAAAATCTCCCTTCCTTTATTTATTCGTATTTGTAATTTGAGTTTAATCTCGGGAGGAAAATCACAGAAACCAAAAGTAATCAAATTAAAAAATAAGAGACATGTATTAATCGCTGTGCATATATCATATTACTTATAATTATCTTTTATTCTTAATGGGATAATCATTAATTTCCAATGTTTAAACATACCTAATGTATGGATAAGTTTTTTTATCTAACTTATTCAACTCTTGCAACACACGTAAAAGCATCTTTGCATTTTTAATTTATCAACGAACGAAATAGAAATGTATTTCAATTGCACAAATGGGCCGTCAAAATTTGTAATTAAGAACTCAAAATTTCAAGTATCTCAAGTCTCGCTATGTCGTAGCTAAAGGGTTAATAAAGAGAAATGAAGAGGTCAAATCGAGGAAACGTGCGTCGCTCGCGTGCAGGCCACGCTCCGCTGTCATTACATACATAATTTGTAGATTTCTCAAGGAGCAATCGTGCGCGCGCGCGCGCGCGTTTGCGTAATTTCACGTCCCCCTTCCGCGCGTTTCTACACGACCCCTAATTAGCCGGCTTAATCCGTCAATCTGCGAATTACCTGCGCCGCGACGTCGACTCGAGGTCGCCAACCGGCGACGACCGTCTTCCCTGCGGTAACTTCGCAATCGACGAACGTCGAATGTGCACCGAATCTCCGTTCGCGGGATCAACAGAATTTCTCCACGACAAAGCGGATTCGCACGGACTTGAATCAGACCAGGATCGTGACTTTCGTTCGCTTACGCGAGCAAGGATCTCGCGACCATGCGAATTAAACGGAGGAGTTTCGCGGCTTCAGATTAGACGAGCGGACGCCGCTCTTTCGACAAGCCATAATCAGAAAGACCGCAAAGCTGAAAGGAGAAAGACAGAAAGAGAGAGAGAAAGAGGCAGAAGGCTATAATCATTGACGTTGGAGCGGTTGACGGCGCGCGCGACACTTCTTTGTAAGTGTGGTACCATTATTACACCTCTGATGATCTTGATGAGGTAATCGACGTCCATCATCTTTCACAGGCATTTCCTGCGTCTATCGACCTGGCCGCCGAGCACTTATCTGTATTCGCTGTTGCGAATACAATGAACGCGCCGTGTCGTCGAAATTTCGTCGCTTCCTTCTGCAGACATTTTCTCTCTTTTCTGCTTTTTTTCTTCTCTCCCTCTCGAGGATCGCGTGGAGAAACGGAAGATTGCATCGAACACGACGTGGCTGTGTCGTTCGTCCTCGCGTAACCGCCGCGGCCGTGTAGGAAATAATTAACGGACAACGTTATTGTCCGTGCGATATGCCACGGACAATAAGTCGACGGCTACGGTACTTGAATTGACTCGCAATTAAGTTTATTGCGCCGCGCCGTCGTGCATCCGGTGTAATTATGTATCCGCCGTATGGACTTAATTCCAAATGTGTACATATTTGGAGACGTTTTAAACAGATCAGCTGCCCACCGAGAGTCTCGCGGATTTACAATTTATCTATCGAAACGAACGAACTCTCTCGCTTATACGGTGATTACCACGGAGATCAGAATCGGCTTACGCAATTGTAGATAAAAAGAGGTCCCCGCTTACGATACGGACGGCTCCCACTCTCGCGCGTTGCGATTCTTGCGAACAAAAAGCGACGAGGAGGGGGGGGGGGAGGAGAGAGAGAGCTCGATTTCTGTCGCTTTCCATCGCGAGACGCGGAGCGATTTCGATACCGTGGCGATATTACGGCGAAAAGACGGGTCGGTTTCGGCAACAGTTGCATCCGTCCACCGGCCGCAATTGCATTGCCAAACGTGAATCCCCTCTCGATCTCGCCGTAAAAACTGGATCCTTTTGCCAATCCCTTTGCTCTCCCGCCCCCGTTCTGCTGTTTCTCTCCGCAGCGCGCAGCTATACGCCTCGTTGTTCCCGTCTTCGTCGCCACTTCTCGCCATCCCTCTCGACTCTCGAGTGCATTCCGGTTTGCCGCAACCGGACGGTTTGCACGGGGCGTATGGAGGAGCGTAGCCCCCGCTCGCTCCGCGAGGAGCGATTTGAATCGTTAGTCTCGCGAATCGAGAATTATTTACGCCCCACGACTTTTCCAGTTATAGCTAATTAAATGCAGAATTATTATACTTCTTCGAATCGCAAATTTTTAATTCGCATATCATCGAGAACTTGTTTCAAGACTACTTGATTTCTTGATTTTTAATCAATGCTAGGAGGATCGCGTAATTGAATGCAAAATTAAAAGTTAAACGTGATCTTCTGCGATAATTTTTTTCATAATTATCGAATACGTTGATGTCGATCGATTAATCAATACGATAGCTATGCAGACAGGCCAAATTGGAAAAGCGATTGCTTCTGCTGTCGGAGTGACTACGCTTAACTCGAACGTTAATGCACGTCGATCCGGCCGCGCCAGCCCGATGACGCGTAAATACCGCGTCGTCTGTCTCCGATTTCACGTACGCCTACTCGCCGAATGGTCTAGCGTTTCGCTCTAGCGCGATGTATTTTGCGACGCAAATATCATAGAGTGGAGTTTGCGATGCAAATTTATTAATTATTTATACGCTTCGCAAAAAAAAAAACGCAAAACATTACCAATCCAAGTCCGAATCATCGGAATTAGAAATCGATACGTTTTCTATTTTACGAATACAAACCTAATATTAGTTAAAATAGAATCTGCTCGAAATTATATGAAATTAATCTCGACAATGATAAGATCTATTATTACTTTTAATCGCTCGCGTAACTCGAAAACTCGCGATTTCCGAACTACATTCCATGCCAATGTTCGTTCGAGGCCTGCACGAGGGGGATCCATCCTTAACATATATTCACCCTGCGTACAGCGAGAGTCCGCGCGAGACAGGCGGTTTAGGTTTGTTCTTTTCTGCGTTTCACGGAGAGAGAAAATGAACGTGCGGAGAAGCCGAGTAAACGCGCGAGTGCGTAACAAGCGTGAGGGGCACGCATCCTGTCATTAGTGCCATAATGTTCGCCTTATTCGATGCATTCGGTTCAATGTCACCCGTCCCTCTCCTTCCTGCCGATTCTCTCGCGGTAGCAGCCCCGATGTGTGTTCACCGGCACCTAGCGTGAACGTTAATGCTCCTCTTACGTTTTTCCTCCCCTCCGAAGCCCTCCCCTCATTAACAATTATAGCTGTTGTCCTTTCGTCTCGCGATCTACAACCGGGTCCATTCATACCATTCGTCTCGGCCATTCATGCCGTGCTGTCACGGTGTGACAGCCTGTCCTCACGTCCGTTTCGCCTAACTGGAAGATTGCGCGTCTCAATGTCTTCTCGGTGTGGAATCCGAGCGAGTTTCGTTAGATACAGAATATTGAGAAACAATCGTGACACTTATAATCATTTTTAATCTTATAATCGTAATACATATTAATAATTTTCATAATTACGAGTAAAAAAGGGGTATTTATTATCGTCTTTCATCATTTATATTGTAATGTGATAAATATTAACATGGAAAACAGATTAGTAGAAAACAGAAAGTTAATTAAGAAAGTAAACTCTTAAAAATGATTTCGTAATTGTTGAGCAATCACAAAGAAACTTGTAGATCTTATCATTATTGAGATTTATTTCCGATATCGCGATAATTATATTTAATGCATTTTTTCAAGCCATCGCATAAATATTTCTCCTGCAATTCCCGACGATTTAATCAAGTTAACAGAATTAAATTAAGATTTCATCAATACCACGATGTAATGTTTCAGTAGCAAGCGTGTCTAATGTCGAGCATTTCTTTGCAGATATCACGATGATAAAGTTCGCTGTGGTAACGATGGTATGCCTCTTGGGGCTGAAGATGATCGCCGCCATGCCAGTGGCCGATCATCATGAGGGCCATGTGCCGCAACCGGTTGCACCCCTCGAGGAAAAGGCCGCGGCGGAATCCCTGAAGGCGGCGGAATCGGGACCCGTGCAGAGCAGCGCACCGGCGGAACCCGTGGCTAGCCAGCCGGTACAGCCGGTGGCTGAGCAACCTGTCGCGGCTGCCGAGCCGGCCGTGAGGAGCGAATCCGTCAACGAGGAGGCGGCTCAGCAGCCGGCCGAGGTGAAGAAGGACGAGCCGCTGCAGCCGCAGCAGCCGAAATCAGTGCCCGAGGAGGTTCAAGTGCAGCCCAAGTCCTCCGAGGAACAGCTCGAGGAGAAGGAAGAGCCAAAGGTGTTGGCCACCGCCGAGGCCGAGAAGAAACAAGAACAAGAGACCCTCAAGGAAGCACCGTCCGAGACGAAGGAGTCCGTGCAACCCGCGCCACAGGAGCAACCGGCTGAGGGTTCCCTTCTCCCAGTCGAGAAGAAAGTAGGTTTCTTTTTCCCTTGATTAAGTAATTTTATTGATCTTCTCCGATCTTTTTTTTTACTCTTTCTTCGTGTTATTAAGTGTTTATATCCTCATTTATAATCTAATTTTACATTGATATGGTTTTTCAGGAGGAACATGTAGCCGTCGAAGGTAAGAGCGCAGAGACGGTCGAACCCGCGGCCGAGAAGCCTGTAGCCATTGAGAAGCGCGCTGACGACGCCGTCGAGAAGATCGCTAAGGAAGAGCCTAAGGAGGAGAAGAAGCTGGAGGAGCCGCAGCCGCTGCCAGCCCTGAAGAAGGAAGAGCCCGCGGAGATTCCCGCGGTCGCCGCCACCGAGGAGAAGAAGGTCGAAGCGAAGGCCGAACATTCGAAGGACTCCGAGGGCCACTCGCTCGCCCACGCCAAGGTCGAGGAGAAGCCCGACCGCGTGACCCGTGACGCCGAGGAATCCGCTGCGCCCGCCGCCGCTGCCGTCTCTGCCGCCGCGGATGCGGCCCCCGTCGCTCAGGAACCCGCGGTCCCGCAGCCGCAGGAGAAATCCGCGCCTGCCGCCGAGGCCGAGCAGCCCGTAGTGCAAGCAGCCGCGCCGGTCGAGGAGCCGAAACCGGCCGAGAAGAGCGAGAAGGTCGAGAAGAGCGAGCAGCTGGAGGCGGCACCCGCCGAGCAGCCGGCTGTCAAGGTCGAGGAACCGGTCAAAAGCGAGGAGAAGGTAGTCGCCGAGGTGGCTGCCGAGAAGGAGGCCGAGAAGGAGGCGAAGAGCGCCGACTCTCCTGTTCTTCAGCAAGCGGAGGTGGCCAAGGAGCAGCAGCAACCCGTGCAGCTTCAGGAATCCAGCCAGATTAAGCGAGACGCGGCGGAGGCGGCCGTGCAGCCTCAGGCCAAATCGGACCTCCCAGCCGAGGAGCAGCAGCCGGTCCAGCAGCAGCAGCAGCAACAACAGCAGCCGCAGCAACAGCAGGAAGTCGCCAAAGAGGTGAAGGAGCGCTCCAACGACTCCTCCGAGGAGAAGTCCGCCGAGGACAGCAAGGAGATCAAGAGCAGCGAGGAGGACAAGTCTTCCGAGGAGCAGAAGGACGCCAAGCCCAAGCTGGGGGAACTGCTCCCGAAACCCGAGCAGTAAATTTCGGCGAGGGGAGGTTTTGATTGATGAGTAAAACCTCAGCGACGCGGCAGCAACAGCAGCAGCAGCATCATCTCGAGGAGGAGAAGGAGAAAGAGGAGGACTGCTCCTCTTAAGGATCGGGACGAGCTCAGGCATCCACGTCTCTGGCATCACCGGGACGCGGGCGCGAGTTCGTCGCGAGACGAACAGGAGCGGAAGCGAGAGAAAGAGTGTGCATGTGCGCGTATGTGCGTGTGTATGTTTGTGAAAGAGCAAGAATGCGCGAATGCCAGAGTATAAAAAAAGCACTCTCAGCGACGAATCCAGAAAGTGTGAAAGTACCGCACAGTGTGAATGGGAGAGAGAAAGAGAGAGAGAGAGAGAGAGAGAGAGAGAAAGAAAGAGAAAAAAATAAAGAGAGAAAGAGGGCGAGAGAGAAAGAGAGAAAGAGAGAGAGCGCGAAAGAGCGATCCCATCGACCCCATCGATCTTTCTAAATATAGGATAGGGTTGTCCGATCTTCGACGGCGCACTACGATCTCCGGTAGCGCATCTCCGCGGGAGCGCGGGGACTTGTCGCGTGTGTTACCCGGACGCCGGCGACACGGGCGAACGACACCGCGTGTCGATCGTACTTCCTCGATACGCGGCGATTCGACACGCCCGCGATCCGGCGGACGGCGGACGAAGAACAACACGCGGCCGGTCCGTCACCACGGGATGCGGCTCGGCCTGGCTCCGAGCGGCGTTCCCGTTCGTCCCGGCGGACATCGCGATCTGTCCACGGGGACGAACTCTGCTCCTGCTCCCTCCCTACTACCCGTCCCCCACAACCGATATCTTTCATCCCCTTTATGAAACTCATCCTACACCCCCCGTGTCCCATTCAAGACACGTCACTGCTACACCCGATAAACTCATCCCGATAAACTATATATAGTAAGTAGCTCGACTCTCTCTGTCTTCTTTTTAGATATACATGTGTCATTATTATTATTATTATTACGATTTAGTACCAGTACCACTATTATTATTAATATTATTATTTGTATTATTGCTATCATCATCGTTATAATAATAATTATTATTATTACTGTGAATCCCCGACGGCTTCGTATTACTATCAATCGCCCATCGAACCCGCAAATTTCGAATTTCATCGTTCAGGATTTAATAATAACATATACAGAAGCGCCGAGCATAAGAATATTATATATGCTAATATAAATAATGATATTCTACTTGGTTTTTAAACGGAAATATTTTTCAAACGATATGAAGCGAGAATAGACTTCTGAGATCCGTACGTAATTTTCTTTCAATACGTAATATTTTCTGACACATTTACCAATACATGTGTAAAATTTCACGCTGCTCGTCTTTTCAAAGTTCCAGATTGTAGTCGATGTACATCGTTTTCGAGTTGTAGCGTGAAGCGCAGTTTCGCTCGGCGAGCGTTACGATCGCACGAAGCAGTTGTTGAGAATTTTCAAGATGCTCGGAAAACGAATGCGCTCGGCGAATAATCACATTCGTGAAAAGAAAGGAACGGACGCGGGAGGGGACACGACAGGCATATCATCGCTGCGTGAATTGCTCGCTGATAAAAGTAAGCGCATTTTTGCAGAGGTTCGTGCGATGGCATTAGGTATTATTGCGATAAGCCGCGATTTGTCAGTCGCAACGTCGCGATTCAGCGTCGCAGAAACGATCGAGGATCAACACCGCGGTAGTAATAAGTTAAACGAGTGACTCACGAAGTAGCACTTTAGCCGTTCCCGGCAGTGTGCACATAGAGTACGGAGTACGGTTACATAGAGTACGTACACACGTACGTGCCGTGTCAGATACGATAATCGGGGGCTTCCGCCAGCCCGATAAACATCTTCGCACTTCTCTAACACGAAATAACAAGGCACAACGAGCGCGCACCGGCAGCAAATTGAGTAAATGATAATACTCCCCCCTTAATTTACGACCCTTAACCCTTTACCGTGTCCACTTTACCCACAAATCGTTTACGTTACGCAATAAGATCAAATGAAACGTGCGTCTCGCAGCATTTCAGAATCGCAGACGTTTCATCGAAAATTCTATTCCGCTAAGATACCGGGATTTATTTTGCTGTTGTATAATACATTTGCGAAAGAATTATTAATTACATCTAATTACGTATAGAATTATTAATTACAGGAAGCATTTATTGATTATCTTAGGCAAATTTTGATTGATAGTATAAAAACATCTGGCTTTCTTTCAAATAAATAAAGAAATTATATTACACATATCGCAAAAAAAAAAACGCAATTAGAAGGAAAAATATATATGCGTATCTCATAATATTTTCAGAGCTAAATTATCGTTTATCACGGATAATTTAAGTATCTAATTCCGAACTGAAAAATAGTCTCATTATTAATTATATTTACGTACAAAATTATTAATTACGAAAAATCCATCAATCTTAGGCAAATTTTGATTAACAGTACAGAAATGTCTAGTATCCTTTCGGATAAATAAAACAAAATAATTATTATATAGCACACATCGCAAATGAAAATGCCATTAGAAGGGAAGATATGTATGTTGTATTTTTATAATCTTCAGAGATAGATTATATCATTTATCACAGACAATTTAAGTGCATGGCTCCGAGTTGAAAAAACATCCGGATTCTCATAACGCGTAGAAAGTGGGATAAATCCCACCGCAAGAGTCAGACTGCCGAGGGTGCAATAAAACTATCATCGAGAGTCGATCCGTGGATTTACGGCATCACAGCCGATATACCTTTCTATTCTCCGCGCGAATGCAACTCCATAACTAATCGGCTACCCACGGAGAGAATGCAACTTGCACAAGAGCCCCGGCGGTCGCGCAATTGCTCGCGAATGTCGCATCGGCGAGCCGACATTCCCCCTTGGTGCATCGATTCATCAAAGGGCGAGCGAGCAGTTCGATCGCACGGCGATGCACCGGGTAGGCCTGAACGAGGCTGGCGGTGCATAAGGTGAGTGCACCCGGCGAAATGTCAAGGCGTGAAAAAAGGGCAGTGAAGGAGACGGAAAGAATTTTGCAATTCGCCGCACGGAGATTATTCCGTTTCGTTATATCACCCCCTTCATTCTCGCCGCTCGATGCGTTCCCGTAATTAATAAATAGACCACACTTGCGTTAAGTAGCGAAGAAATCAATCTGACGCTGTTTGATGCTACCTACAGAAGCATTTGTTTCTCAACTGGCTAAATGCCGTTGCAAGAATTTTCAATTTTCTTTGCTAGACTATTCGTCGCGAAGTAACAAATAATTGCAGCTATTGTTAAAAAAAATTTATTGAGATGAAATCTGCAGTAGGATTAAATGCAGAATTAATTTTTGCAATTTGAGTTTCGCATTTTTTTTAGACTTAAAAATTTAATTTATCCAATTTTATCAATTAATCTTTTTGTAATTTAATGTAATTTAATGTCTAAGTTATTATTGAATTATATTATTGGCTAATATTATGTAAATCCTAGCTTGGCTCGTAATCTTTTGATTCTATTGTTTAAATTTTAATCTACTGAACGTTTGTTACTTTTTAATTTAATTTTTAATTAATGCTTATAAAGCATTTATAACACGCAGGTGTCAGGGGTAAGTGCATTCACAAAGGAAAGCAAGTTAAATGCCTCCGTGGCGCAAATGGTTAGCGCGTTCGGCTGTTAACCGAAAGGTTGGTGGTTCGAGCCCACCCGGGGGCGGTATTTTTTGTCATTATTGTACATGAATGGTAATTGTTTTTAACATCATAATATATATATATATATATATATCAGTACGTGACTCCTAATTTTAAGTCCAAGCATGACTTTTATGGATTGAAATAAAATGCTTATAGTCGACTATTTTTTTTCAATAAGTGTGATATAAAAGATAATTAGTGATGAAAAAATTAATTTTTGTAATTAGTTTCGGATTTTAGTAAAAAAAAATAATTGAAAGACGAAAAAAAAATAACTTGACCCCGACGTGATTTGAACACGCAACCTTCTGATCTGGAGTCAGACGCGCTACCGTTGCGCCACGGAGTCTTGTGGTGTCTTTTGCTTCTAGTGCAATGATAAGTCTAATGATACGCTTAAAACGATCGTCATAGTAGGACATCGAGCGATAATTGTAGCTGAAGAATGTGTAAATATGTACCTAAAATCTATCACGTACCTCATTCGTGAGTAAAACGCAGGCCAACACACCCAGAGACCACCAATCGACCTCCTGTCCATAATATTCCTTCTTTAGGATTTCCGGTGCTGAAAAATCATGATAAAAAATTTTCGTAAGTGCGACAAAATGGTATAGAAGCGCATTTTATATCTCGAATTGTTAATCGATCGATAAGCTTTGTTACTTTGAGCAAATTGCACATATAGCCTTGGCCATAGGTATAAAATACTCTCACAAAATAACGTAAGCGTTTCAATATCAAACGAAAAATAAGTTAAAAAACAATTTTATTGAAAACTATTAATTTTTATAATAATTTTAATATTTTCTTACGTCTTCTTTTGGCTTTTATTACCTCCTTTTCCAAGAAAATGCAATAAATTGAGACCAATCGCTTATACTTTATGTCCAAGGTTGTATAACGGCATATGTGTATGTTACAATTGTAAATTTATTGTTCACTTACCCATATATTGGGGCGTTCCGCAGAATGTATTCGTTCGCTCTGTGCGATGCAGCCATTTGGCCAGACCAAAGTCGATAATCACAGCATGGCCCTCCTCATCGAGTAGAATATTGGTTGTTTTCAGATCTCTGTGTACTACACCAACATTGTGTAGAAAATCTATATACAACAGGAGATTTTGTATAAAGATTTAGATGCCGTATTTTATACGTTACGATAAAGAGTTGGTAAAATTATTCTTACCTATAGCTAAGGCAATTTCGGCTACGTATATCCTAACTACTTTTTCAGGCAAACAGCCGTACACGTCGACTAGTGAAAATAATTCTCCCCCGGAGATGTAGTTCATCACTGCAATATTAATTACATACATCTATCAGTCCTGCTCCTTGTCGGAGGATTATATTATAAAATTGTATTGCTTTAACAATGAAATACATACGTATGTACAACGTCTTCCTGCCTTGCCACCTGTGGACGGAATTTACTATGAAGGGGTGATGCCCAACCATTCTCAGTATCGCTGCCTAAGTATGAAACATGGAATCTCTTATGTATCATGTCAAATCAACATATTCATCGAGACAACATTATTACATATATCTTAAATGTAAACGCACCTCCTCCTTAGCCTGCCTGACGCAATTCTCTTCCACGATCATGGCTTTGCTAATCACCTTCAGTGCAAACACCTGACTAGTTTCTTGCTTTTGCACCTTGTATACTTTGCCGTAAGCGCCCTTGGCTATCACATCCAAGAAGACGTATCCCGTCTTCAGAGGTATCTCCTTGACTGGAAATTCTGGCAGGAACATCGACTGAGAGCGTAGAATCGGCCATACCGTTTTGGAAGATCCGTGAATATCCTGCGTGGCGCCTTTGGTCCAACTGAAGGAAACGAGCACGAGTTTTAGATCTTCCAGCCACGACATTTAAACTGTCACTTACTGCGATTTGTTATCAACGACTTAGTTACAATATGCTAAAGCGTTATTACCTTCTGTAAGAAGTGCGGGACCACGATCTCCCCTCCTCGTTGGAAGCCTGCGCTGTCCCATTGCTGATGCAGCTCCCACCAAGCAAGTCGCTGAGGCTGTACTGTAAATTAATAGCAAAATGCCTTGTAAAACGCAAAACACATGTATAACATTTGATTGTACGCGTCACGCCAATGACAGCACGAAGAGACGCCGGGACACTTTCAACAGAGACAAAAATTTTGTGTTGCAGGTTAGGATACAGGTCTAAACAACACCCACCTGACTGTCATACCTCTGCTGATTACGGTAGCTCCTCTTGACGTTGGAGTTGCCCATTCAAGTGACGGGTGCTCCGATCGATCGTCGATCCTCAAATCACGGGCGAGCGGCGATTCGAAAGCGGCGCTTCTCGATGCACAAGCGTCATTCTGCTCCCGGAGTCGAGTTCACCTCGAATTAAAACTACCGGGCGTGTGCCGTTAGGACGTTCGCGTATATGCGTATATCATGCTGCTAATCACGCTGTCGTTAGGCATGTAAACACGCTCTGTGCGGCGCGGCGCGTTCAATCATAATATTCCCCCACGCCGGCACGACGATCGCAAGTGCAAAATTATTAATTGCTACGACGAAATCGAGCCGCGGTGTGCCAAGAATCATCGAGCCCGAGCGCGGCGCAAATTACGCCAGTAGCGAATCAACAAACTTATTTAGGCGATGAACCGTTGAGAATCATGCAGGAGTTTAATTACGGAGGACGAAGATCGTGACGACGAACATGCGCAGTGCGCGAGTTACCTCCCGAAGTCGGCGAATCACGTGAAACCAGTGAAACGCGGAGTCGCGAAACGCTTTCAAACCACCGCCGCTCGCGCACACGCAGGGCCCGCAGGGCGTTCGTAATCCCGTTAGGACGTTCTATAAATAGCTGTACTCCACAGCCGAGCAAGTGCAATTGGAATATTAAAATTCGAGTATATGCATGCGAAGAAATCGAAACGCCATGATGGATCTCCAAACCGCGAATCCGCACGTACTGCAAAAGCGCGAAACGCGCGGTTGATCCGCGCGGGCCTGCGCAGTAAGTTATAGTTACGCAGCCGAGACGCAGAGTATGGCCTTTCAAATCTTTTGAATCTCCTTCGTGTAAATAGCTAACCTTAGAATAGAAGCCGCGCAACGCTATAACGCGAGTATAAAGTTCACGCTTTTTACGTTTTACGTGCGATCGCCGCGAAGCTCGCCCGGGAAAAGAACGACGCCGCGAGCCGGCTTGCAACGGCAGCGACCTCTGACGTCAAAGGCAACGGCTATTAATTTACGGTACAGCCCAGCGACTTGCTCGGTGGGCTCCAGTTGAGCGCGGCGCGCCGTCGGTAATGAAGCGCATTACCGACAGGAGGGAATTACCGACACGCGATAAGGGAGAAATCCAAATGGTCGCGTTCGCTATCACGCCGTGCCGTGGCATCAGCGCGCCCATGACCGTCCGTCCACGTGACACTAGCCGCTGCACCGCCTGCACCGCCTGTGCGGCGTGGTTGCACTGGTTGCGTGCGATTGCTGCGGGACCAACCGTGTGCTGCTGGTGGTGCGATTGATCCCCCCCGTGGTGTATGTGTGTGTGTGTGCGTGTGTGTGTCAGAGAGGAGGATCGTTTCTTGGATTTCGCTGGGGCACGATCTTGTATGCCGTCCGCGACCGCGGCTCGTGCCCGAGACACTTGTATGCCAGCCCGGCGTCGGCGTTGAGCGCGCGATCTAACTATGATCAAGCTATTCTCGTTGAAACAAGCGAAAAAAGATGGCGAGTCACCCAAGGCTGGCACCCAGAAGAAGGCGTCCGCGGCACAGCTGAGGATCACGAAAGGTTCGCGGAAACACACGTATTTGCCGGTGCAACGGCGACGTCGACGGCGTTCGGTCTATTCCTCGCCGTTTTCTTCCCCTCCGCGCCCCCTACCCCTCTTTCTCACCTGGTGTGCTCCTCTTTTTCAGACATAAACGAACTCAACCTCCCGAAAACGTGCGGCACGGAATTCCCGGATCCCGACGATTTGCTAAGCTTTAAATTAATCATCTGTCCAGATGAAGTGAGTACACGCTCGCCCGGAGCACCTTGCAGGTCCCCCCACGGTCGATCGGATCGATGTCACTCTCGTCCTGTTGGAAATCTGACAATTGTTTTCAGTGTCCATACCCGCGACGGGGTGCTCCTATCGACAGTGGTTTTCGTATCGCCTGATGAACGATCTGATGGTTCGTTTAACTGTTTCAGGGATTTTACAAAGGCGGTAGGTTCGTGTTTAGTTTTAAAGTCGGGCCCAATTACCCGCACGAGCCGCCTAAGGTGAAGTGCGAGACTCAGGTTTATCATCCTAATATCGATCTGGACGGTAATGTGTGCCTCAATATTTTGCGAGAGGACTGGAAGCCCGTACTCACGATCAACTCCATCGTTTATGGTCTCCAGTATCTCTTCTTAGTACGTATAATTCCGCTATCATTTCTGACTCAATTTGCCATGCAAATGGAAACTATACATATGCAATAGAATCTTGTTTATTCTGTTCCTTTATATGTACACATATGTGTAACAGAAAGAGATTCTTGTTAACAGCAAAATTTATAGAATGTAATCTCAGTGTGATAATATTTGTAACATCTCTAATAATTTTTTTTTTTTTTTTCAAATTAAGAGGAATGAATGTGTTTGCAGGAACCAAATCCTGAGGATCCGTTAAATAAGGACGCGGCGGAAGTTCTACAGAACAACAGAAGGGCTTTCGAACAAAACGTAGCGAAAGCGATGCGGGGTGGTTACGTAGGATCCTTGTATTTTGAACGGTGTCTCAAGTGATACAGTGCCTCGCCGTCAATACTGTACACGCTTCTCCAAGGACTCACTGTAGGTGAAGAGATCCTGAACTACGGAATGAGTGTAGGACCGCACGGTGTCCTCATTATCACATGCGTGATAACATTAACATATTTACTTTCTTTATGTCTTGCCAGGCCTATATACATTTAATTTGGAGATAAAACCTGCTCTTTCGTTAGCCAAAACCCGTGGGCGAATTGTTCCGTTCCGTCGTTTCCGATGATTATCGAAAAATGTTTATTGGCCGTGGCGTTATTTTAGTGAATTTGAAGTGCAGTGTTGAGGGGCTCGTAGAATTATAGTTTGACAATTTGGCAGATAAATAGATGTTACGGATGCGAGACGTTTGATTGTGCTGCATACATATGCAATTCTGGACCCGAAATTGGAAGGTTTTTGGATCCTGAATTTTTAAACCCGTCTTTTTTTCCGTGTTTTTATAGGTATCTTAATTTAAGAAATATTTATTTTCTAGGGAGCGGCACGCGCGCGCGTGACCCATTTTCACAATAATTATTCGCCGTAGCATCTATCTGAAATCTGCTCTTCATTTAAATATATGTACAAGTAACTTATGTATTGACTGAAAATGGAATATAAGGCTGTTACAAAACTGCAAATGTTTCGTTTGGATTTTCGCAAACAGCATATTTTTAAACCCGACAAAACAGATTTCTTTCCGATATACATATATAAAAATAACGATCTAATTCTTTCTTTTTTTTTTATAAAACAAGTTTGAATTTATTTCACACTAAAGCGAGATTGATTTGCTTTATGTACAAGTACAAACCTTACAGGAGTCACTAAAACAATTACGAGATTATAATACAATCGTGAGATTTATGCTACAAAAATTTAATTTATTATTATACTTCGTAATTACTAGAAATGTTGGAAAGTATATTTTGAACGTCACACGCTTGTACAGAGTCTATATAAAATAATTGAGCATATCTCAATGTAGTTTAGAGAAATTGATACATGCAAGAATCACAGAAATACTTATTATAACAAAGTGTGTTGAAATGTGCCACCGATACTTCTTTCTGCTATTTGCTCTTGTATTGATGTATAAAATCGGAATATTTAGGTAACATCATATATATATATATATATATATATATATATCTCTTCAATCTGTAGGTATTTTGGAATTCATAATAATAAATATGCATAATTACCAGTTATAAGTTAAAAGATGATCGTGAGATAAACTATCCAATATTTATGAAAAAACAATTTTTTTACACGTTGAAATTACATGTTAAAAATAAAATTTTAATGTTTCACTATCTTTCTTCTAGATTCTAAATTTCTATAATTTACTTAAAAAATAATTCTACAATTGTGAATTCCAAATTACTGTATTGATTGCGTATATTTTGTTGTTTACTAAATATATTTAATTTTTAGACAGATGTAAGAGAGAGCTAAATGCTAATCCACAAACATATTGTAAACTTCAGAAATAAAGGTCTTGGATAAATAAATAAATGACAGATGCAACATAGAGACTACATTTTTAGTTTAATATAATGAAGTTTCTATAAACTTCATCCGTTATTATTAAAGCACCAGTATAGTTATCTTACCTCTTATCAAGTTTATACAATATCAAGACTTAAGCGTACATGTGATTTTTATCGTAAGACTCGTCGCCGCTACGATTATTTATTAATAATTTATATTTTTATTCGTTATATAAAAACTACGGAAAGAATATGTGTTGTGGTAAATATTCATTACAAAGAAGTTTACGGCTCGTATCTTATATAAAGAGCAAAGGAACAGCTTTTTTTTTCGTCTCTTCTCTCTATCAGTTACTTTTTAATTTATTATTCTTTAATACAGTACTTATAGAACTTATGAACTAGAGAAGTGTCCTGGCCTCACTCCGACCTACAGCTTATTCTGCTGTATTCTTTAATTTAGGTCCCGTCTGCGCGTTAACGTTTCAAGGCACTTTTTTTTTAATATTTTCATTTGAAAAAACTGTGACACAATCAATTAATTTTCTCACATTACATGCAAAGACATTAAAACCGTACCAAATGGATGGGTCACGAGTTCAAATCACAGTGCGAGGAGCGATGGTATCTCTCTATTTGATTGCGTCGTTCTGTTTATGAGAAACGGATACCATGTTAAAAATCACTTTCGTGTTACACATATATCTCTGATAAAGCACTGCAAGAAATCAATAGTCATAATTCTAAACGAGCCAATCTAAAAGCAGGGCACTGCAAAATAAAAATGGCGAATATAAGAAATACAGCAATTTATTTAAGAATTATGTTAGAAAAATGACCATCTTAAGATGTATACCAAAAATCATTCTTCCATAATAATTTATGTACTATTTTATCAATTCGAAGTATTATGTAATTCATCGATCATAATTATGTAACTTTCTAATATTTGAAACAGTTTGAATCATTCTGTTTACATACAAGTATCCCTGGCTTTTTGAATTTAGAGAAACAGGCGCATTATGTATAACAAATACTTTTAAAAATATTGAGCAATAATACACATACACTTCTATATCCTTGACTTATGTTATTGATATCGTTTATATTATTATTTAAATTTTTAAAACTAATAACGTTTATTATCATTAAATTAAAAAAAATGTGTAACTTTTTAATATGCTCTAGGTATATTAAAAAGTCATGAAATTTATTCTTTTTTCCCTCACATTTCTAACAAGGACATTTTCATGAAATATCCTACGTCGAATTCTTTAAAAAGAGTTGGAGTTAAAATTCTAAGTTTTCAATTATCGGCAATTCTGTGTTTCTGATTTTTAATTAATGATTGATGAAGTCTATTATGTATCGTTTCTTTTTTACGCTATACGCTGTACTTTTTTGCATGCACCCTGTTATACAGAATCTTTACTAGGGAAAGAACTGAATTTGGAGTAAATATGATTAAAAATTATTGCACAGCAATTTCTTGCAGCTTTATATGGAAAACAGATAAGCCTCGATAAACAGAATAAAAAGTTTGGTCGAGTATGTATCATAAAGAAGCACACATATATCCTTATCAACAAAATGTTTGACAACATAGTTTCACTATCAAATAACATTTTAGTACAAACTCTTGGACTTAAGATACAAAGATCACAATTTATACTCTGAAGCGACACGTAATTGACATGCATTCTCTGATATAAAAAGCACTCCCTTGTGCAGTAATATCATTTCACTAACCACAGCACAGAACACCTCTTCTTTGTACGCCTTTATCATTTTGGGCTCTGATATTTATAGTTTATTTCTGCTCCGAGTTTCGTCCTACGTAATTACAATACCTCGTGAAAGAAAGAGCTCCGCTTACATTTGTCGTGTTCGCGCGCGTTAATGCCTTTTATAATACAGTATGGATATTAGTCCACAAGATCTAAGATTACAGGGACTCCGTTAGAGAAGCTATTCAAAGTGCTTTGTTAAATCAACTGGTGCAGCTCCATCCTTCAGGGTACATAGTTTGGACAGCGCAAAATATATAGCAGAACTTATCTTTTTCAAAATAAAGCAAGCTGTGCTGGGATTTATGTAAAGTGATCGGTAACTGCAGAAAAAATGTTTGGCCATATATAATACAATGTACATTTTAACAAGGACTTTAAAATAAAAAAAAAAGACAGTGTTTATTCAAACATCTTAATTACTCTTATCTAAATATCTTTCTGATAGGCGACACAATTTTTGCAAATTATACGTCTAGCAGCCCTGACAAGTTACGTCTTTTTTTTTCTTTTCAGCAGAACAGCAATTCGCAAATATATCTGGATAGCGTACGGCATGATGTTTTACTGAACTAATTGTTAATAATATCAAATAACGTAGTTTATACACATACTCAAAAGTTTTCTTTTGATATATTTATATACCAACAATTTAACATATTCATATTTTGTAACACATATTTTATCAACTAAGCAATTTTTTCTTTTTGCTAAAATAAATTTTAGGTTAAAGTAATCGAGAGTAAATATACATTTTATACGAGAATATATATCTAGCAAGCTATGCTGAAATTTTCTTAACCAAGGGCCATGCAAAATCTGAAAGCAAAATATATTCCAATAATATAATTCACAAAGTAATTTCAAATTGTCAAGAAAACGCGTAATAGCTTGCTAGACAGGAAGTAATATTTTTTTTTTACCTGAATCAAAAAAATTAAATTGTTATTTGCATAATAAATGTGTAGAAAAAGAGACTATACATTTTTCACATGATAACTAAAAAGCAAGTCTGCTGTCTCGTCGTAAAACAGTATGCACAAGATTGATGGATCTTATGAAGTTAAAATTTTAGTGTCGTATCGTATTAAAGTAAGACTTTTTGTTGAATTGTCTTAATAAATGTACAATTAGTTTACACAAAAATAGTAAATAGGAAATGCGTAATATTTTCGAAATATGTGTGTGGGATCATGTGGATAATGATCACGTGCTACAAACGTCCAAGTCAGATTCTGTATAATTTGTTTACTTACTTAGTTAATCTAAAATTGTAATGATTATAAGTCTTTATCGACTTAAGGGTGTTCCACCGAAATTAAACGAGGTGGGCACAGTCTGTGAGTGAAAGACATAGCCTAAAAAATTTTAAAGAATTATATAAATTTATACATAAAATAATATACGGATTAAAACACAAAGTAAAAAGAAAAATACATATTAATTCATGTAGTAATTAAGAAAAATTATTCTCAATTATTGAAAGCAGTATGAAATTACCTCCGCTCTGCTCGATCCTTTTACTCTCTAAAGCCGCTTTGCGTTGATCCGCCAAAAGAATAATCTCTTGCAGAGCTTTCTCTTGTTCAGGGCTAAGAAGACTCGTCAAGGCTCTGTACCAGGTCACGTCAGTTCTTTCAATATCTAGTTAAAAATAAGAAATACAGATTTATGAAATGTAGATTTTAATGCGTATCTTGAAATTGATTTATTTTAAATATTATTTTTTTCATATATTTACTTTGAATAATTTCCTTGAAAACAACATATTCATCCTGATTGGAATCCTCTGAATCTAAGGGGGTAGTATAGCTTTCGAGAGCAGTCTCTTCGTTACCGTCATACTCCGAATCGTCGTCATCGTCGTCTGATCTATGATCACCGTGACCATCTTGTATAGTCGCGTTAACGTTAAAACCATGTTGAGCAGATGTTCGTGTTACTTTATCTTGCAATTTCTCGAGGTATTCTTGATTGGCATCATCTATATCATCCTCGTCCGATGATAAGACCTCTAAAAATCGAATTTGGATTAGCTCGTCGGATATTATCATTTATATACGAAACACTCACCTTCCTCAATATCACTTTCCTCCTCGTTCTCATCATCGTCGTCTCCGTCCGTGACTTTAGCGGCATACGCTCTCTTCAAACCTTCGAATAGCAAGATTAAGGATGGAATAATTTGCGTGGCACATTCATTCACAGCAGGCGGTCTTGCAGGACCCATACTGATTAACGTACACAATCCAAGTACGCACAATTTCCGATCATGCAAGCTGTGGAGGAAAATCACGCAATTCGTTATTACAAGTGCAAGAGATAATATTCCAAACTTTCACATCTTTATTTCAGTAATCTCGCATTAAAACGTTTTTACATGACAAAAACACATACCCCAAAAAGCAATCAGTATCGTTGATCCATTGTTTGATAAAACGCGAAGCCAGCGGTTCCGTCGACTGATCGAAGTTTCCTTGCAGTCTGTCCATTGTTTCCAGACAAAGAGCAGGATTGTAGTATAACGCGGCAATGACTACTTGAAGACACATCGTTCGCAGCTCCGAAGTTTTAACTTCGCGCATTAGGCGTTCGAGGACTAATTGCACAAGCGACGGTATACACTAAAATAAAAAAATTGAATCGTTTTATTTAGTACCATACTTTATAAGTCATAAGACTTTGCATGTAATTTTCGCGGATATTACGGTATTACATAACGTTACCTGATCTATATGTCCTTTACACTGCAAAATTATAACTTCTAGTAACTTGGCAGCATGACACTCTGGATCTTCACCGCCCTCACCAGTCAGAACCTACAACATATAGAAAACATAGAATTTTGTTTAGAAAATAAAAATACTACAGTGTATAGAGAGAATATTCCATTAGTACTTACAGCTTTACACATATTGAACATGGCAACAATGTGATTTTCATTCGATAAAAACGCCTGGGTGTCGACGGTGATGTAATTATGTAGCGCAGGCATCATGTCAGTGAAATAGTCGAAGCCATCCTTTTGAAAGAGTTGATACATAAGTTCTAGGACTTTCCACATGTCTTCGGATATACCTTTACCCGTTAGGTCGTATACTAGCGATAATGCTTCTTCGTAAAATTCTGATTAAAGAAAAGAAATTCATTTTTCATAATGTGCTCCTAAATAAATAATAATAAACATATTACAGAGATATATATTAGGGCTGATGATTTGCTTCAAAGGCTTCGACATTCAAACTTCGAAGATTCGAAGCTTCAAAGTTTTAAAAAATGCATTCAAGTAAATAATAAATTTATTCAGAAAATTTACAAATGTAAATAAAAAGAATTAACATACATACGAAATTATTCCTAAAAAATTTGGAAGTATTATAACCCGAAATATTACAAATTAATAATTAAACTTGATACATGTGTAAATAAAAAAAGATAATGATTAATAAAAGAATCCAATTAAGAAAATTCAAATTTTTAATGTATTTTTCAAAACTTCGAAAGTAGGTAAAAAGTAACAGCCCTAATATATATTATCAACAAATACAATACGTTAGAAACGTAAATATTGAGCAAAGAATATAATTACTGAATTATTAAAATCCATGTTAAAATCAAGAATTAAATTTAAGTTATTAAATATTCTTAAACAAAAAAAAAAATAAAAATTTTAATGTAAAAGAACATACCCATTACGCTATTTCTAAAGATATGAGCGACTACTTGGAGCACAATCGGTTCGAGTTGCAACATAATTTGGGGTTGCTCATCCATCACCGTTAATAGCGTTTCTATCGTGTTCAAAAGGCCCATTGCTGTTATCGCCTTCTCGTCGCTACCTTCATCTGTTTCGAGCACTTGACTAAATGTAGCAGCCTGGATAAAGAACATATAACATAATAATGTATTCCATATATAGCATAAGTTAATTCTATCTTCACAATATTACATGCTACATAAGCTTACCAAATGCTGGCAAACTTCTACAGCAATTGGGACCAATTGCTCGGTGTATGTACAGACGATCTTCTGCATGACACTCGTCAGATCGTCGTTTTCAGTTTGCCTGATAATAGTCAACAATTCGAGCGTTATTTGTTTAATTAAAGGCTCGATGTACTTCTGAGCTTTCGGTTGTGCCGAAAGCATCATCTGAAGTGCTATGGCCGCTTCGACTTTAACAGGCAAATCTTGATCAGTCAGAAGAGCATTTGTAATTAATCTGACCGCCTCGACTAAAATTTGTTCCGATTTAAACTTAATTTCCGAGAAGTAATGCATCACCCAACAGGCCTGAAAGCACAATTAATAATTGTCAATGCATTAAATATTATTATAATCATTATACTTGTATCACATAATTATTAAATAGGCCTGTAAAAAAAGAGAAAAAATGAACAGTGTGTAAAAAATTCAGCTTAAAAATAAAATAAAATATTTTTCAGCTAAACTTCTTATACAATTTGCCCTTTCTTTTTTTCTCTAACGCGGAGAAAAACCGGAAAAACGTGAATCGTGCAAGAAGTCCAGCTGAAAAAAACAAGCCCAATAATAATTATTCTACTTTTAGTAGTTATCATTTTATTTACTCTCGCTCGCATGTGCCCATGGGGACTGCTGAACTCGGGAAATACGTATTGCAGTAACATTTTGTCCATTTGTTCCTTGTAAACCTTCTTCTTCAACAAAACATCGGCTAAACTTCCAATCTAAATAAGGCATAATTTAACATATCATTAACAATATATGAAACATACGTGCAAATATAACGTGAAAAATAATGTAAAAAATTGTAGAGTAGCCATAAAAAAAATTCAGACAGGAAACATATTTCGCCATAAACACACCATATGTAATGCACCATCCTTTTGTCTTGGGTCTGCATTCGGACTAGTTAACACCTCCAGACAAAACTGCATCGTTTTCTGCAGCATATCTTTTCGTTTTCTACACGCCGAGTGTAACAAGGTTTGCGCTGCCGTTACTGGAGATACAAAATCTTCGAAGATATCTGAAAATACGTTACACTAACAATGATACGTGGTTCTCCGCCAGTTTCAGATCGATGCGTTTTAATTAACTTGAATGAACTTACCGAATTTTACTCTAATGTATTCGTATGGATCAGTGTTCCATAGTTCCTCATCTGAGGCAGAATATGAGAGAATGGGGAACAGAACGTCGCGTATGATTTCAAACATGTGAGGCTTCAAAAATTTCCAAGAAAATGCATGGCTCACACTAAAAATTCGTAAAAATATTATAGCGATCAATTTAAGTCAACATTAATCTTATCAAGATTTAATGTGGACAAGATTTAACGTTCAATCAGGATCAACATTAAATCTTTAATTTCTTATCTTTCAATTTACATCAACATTAAATCTTGCGAAATCCAATAAAGTCTTCATTTATTAACATATAGAGCTAGATCCTTACCCCTGATTGATATAATTGATTGATTGCTGTATTACTCTGGGAGAGATATAAATTTTCCTACGATATTGATCCAATATCTTTAGAAGAACCTCGAGAATACCGGCACTGAAGGTTTGCAAATACCATTCGGCGAATTCTTTATACTCTTTGGTCACATTTCCTGGGCTACCGTATCTATAATCAACAGCGCACAATCAGAATGTAATTATCTCTTTACTATCATCTTATTAACTATTGTTATTTTTAATGTCACTTTCGACCATCACGACTACATGACTAATTACCTTTCAAACATTCTGTGTAAAATATGCAACGCCCACTTTTTACATTTCCACCAACACAGTTCCGCGCGTTCGTCATCATCGAGATCTGGATTGTTAGTCTCCGGCGGTACCGGTCTGTCAGCTATCTGTCTCACCACGTCCATCCATTGTGAGAACACCTCTTTCGAAATAAGGTCAAGGGGAAGTGTGTACTGCAGGTACAACAATTATTAGGTTTCAAGACACTTCCTCAACTAACATCACGCTTTATTCTTAAAAGATCTATTATAACTATAATCCATACCTGTGTGAGTGCAAAGAAAATTTTCAATATCTGTTTCTGAAGTAGAACAGACTGCTCAGATGAATCTGGCAATAAGCGTAATATCAATTGATAGATCATGGGGAATAACAAGTTCATTGCTTCATTTAACGGTCCCCTCTCTTCTGCTTTCTTGTACCTAGTCATCAGAAGCGTTCGAGCATTATAAAATCATTTTCTACGTAACGGAATGCCGAAAGCGTATTGAACGAACATACTCGAAATTTTTAACAAGCTGATGCAGTGCGAGGAGAACACCAGGCCAACACGAAGCGTCAGGATTTTGAAGGTATATCGTAATTTTGTCCACTATTTGCGTCCATCTCCCAGGAAAGTCGTATTTAACTATATTACTGATGCATACCGCTAATTGTATTCTAAACACACAGTACAGATATACAATGATAATTTTAATATATATGTATACGTTTATATATATATATATATTTTTTTTTTTTCATTGACAACACAAGTCGGATTGCAACTTGCCTAATTAAGTCTGGGGCATGTACCACGGCATCTACTATGGTATCGCGTATCATTGCACGATCTTGCTCATGAATGCTAAATTCTATGGGTCCACTATCGACTTCCTTATCGGCCCAATTTGAAGTAATTAAATTTTTTAAATAAATTACACCTATAAACACAACAAAAAAATTGCGCCATCAGGCTTCATCTTTTATCTTCGGTGTTACACAGCGCGGGATCACAAATAAATATTTACCGGCTTGTCTGACGGGCATGTCGACGTCGTTTGACATCACTACCTGCAGGAGCGCCGGTGCGAAACCAATAATTTTGTGAATCTGAAAAATTCAAGCGTATACATCATACTGACTTACCGCTTACGTCAACACCGTTGCATTACCGTAATCATTTTGGTGTTACCGCAGTTCTACGAATTCGTGATAACTTATAGAAATGTGGAGTGTGTAAATAATAGATAGCGTGTACATAATGCATGTATACCTAAAGTATACAAAAGTAATGCGATGGCGATATCATCGATATATAGATGACAAAATTATGAGTCACGTTGGGACAATACGGCGCGTTAGCACGCGACGTACGAGAGTATAACGGAATCCGTCCGCACGATCTCGAGAATCGTCGAGGGTCAAAGGCAAGTCCCCCTCCCCCTCCCCCCGAACATCCCGAGAATAACCCGCGTGCGAGGAGAGGTTAGCGGGCGTGAGCGCGGGATATTCTCCGCGTGTCGTCCGACAAAGGCGAGCGAGCGTTCGTCCGAGAGTCGGACAAAACGTGCTCCACTTCACGATCTCGTCTCTTGTGGGCCAGCATCGCGAAGGAGAGAATCGCGGGCGTCCACCGAAAAGAGAAAAACCCCCCTCCCCCCCCAAGCCATCGGAGCGGCGGGAACGGTGGCGGAGAGCACGCCGGCATTATCCTCGGCAAGGACGCGTCCCCCCTGATTTTTCGGCGAGCACGTGCGCGCGAAACCCGCGGGGACGTGGGTACGCGGACACGGGACGGGGGGGCCACATGTTCGCGGGGATGCACGGAAGTTCGCCCTCCTGCTCCGCCCCCTCTCTCTCTCTCTCTAACCCGTCCGCCGGGCATCCGCGCGCGAGCACGTTTTCACCCACGGTCGGTCCCACCGCGCTTCGCAGATTTTCCTCGCGCCTCGTACCTGGGTGAGCTGCTCCTCCGCCTCCTTCTGCTGCGCGGGATCAATCGTCGCCCGCAGCAGCTCGGTGAGCTTACGCGCTTCCATCGCTCCGGGCCGCCTCAGCTCGCCTTGTATTAATTAGACGCCTGAATTTTTGCGATCGACTCTCCCAGCACCGGACTTGACCCGGCGCATTCACCTCACACTGCCTGCCTGCTCCTCGCCAGCCTGCCCGTGACGGTCACGTGACACAACAACATGGCGGCAGCTTTTGAATCGTCGCATCCGGTCGCGGGGCATGCGGCTCGCGTGAGATGCGACCATCTCTGATTCTCTGCCTCCTCATCATGGCGGCGTGTTCGATTGCATGAGAATCGCCTTAAGGGATCTTTATAGCGATATTTAAACTAAATCTTGATTAAGTTAATTAAGTATTAATTCAATCGGCAGAATTGCTTCGAGGAAAATTTCTATACTATATATACAATTATCGACGAGATATTATTAAAGACCGACACTCTTACGGGAGTTAGCGTGGCTGGTTTAGTAATTGCTTAAAATTTAAGCAATTTTAGCCAATAATATAATATTAATTTAATGATTTATTGTTAGATCAATATTTTTTAAACATGTATATTGTAATTCATCTGTATTATAACTTGCTAATAGTTAATTTTATTTAAAACTGCATTTTTATAGTTACCATACGTGTTTGATTATCCAGAGAGATGGTAAAACAGTTGAAAAAAAAATGTAATTTTGCGGCAATATATTTGATATTATAGCATTTTAAGTATTCATACTTATTTATAAAGCATTTATATAACAAAAATCATGATCTTAATAATGTATTATTCAAATAAATCGCAAATTTATGTCAAAAGTCGATAACATCGACACTCTGCAATTACCTACCTGTAATTATCCGCTGGGTCCGCCGAGCTGGCACGAAAATTTGCTCGGGTCTTTAATCGTATCTCGTCGGTAATACAATATTAAAATTCAATTGAAAATTGGAATTCAACCAATCAGGAGAAAATGGAATACAATTAAATATGTATTTGGTAAATTTTTAATCTTCAATTTACATTTCTTAATCTCGAATGCGTAATGTGATACAGGCTTTAGTTTTGATTTATAAGGGCGAATTCACACCTTGACAGAAAAGCGGAAAACAGAAAAGCAGAAGCCAATCAGAACTCGCACTGGTAGCAAAAAAAGCAGAAAGCAAAAACTATTAACTACCAACGCGAGTTCTGATTGGCTTCTGCTTTTCTGTTTTCCGCTTTTCTGTCAAGCTGTGAATTCGCCCTAACACGTGTAGGTGAAATATTGAACCAGAGAGAAGCAAAAAGAAGAACTAAAAAATTTTTTAATCATAGTCGATTATTTATCTGACGCGAAAAGAATAATCGATTATGATTGGTCAATTGGAATGTAAACGAAAGGTACCCTATACATTTCATGTGCGATAGGCTTAAGGCCCATTCTACATAAAAGAGAGCTTTCCTTCATAAAAGGCTGTATACATTTCAAGATTCATGACTTTTTTTATTTAAAGAGAAACAGGTGTATAATTTAAGACGCGTTAGAAAGAAAGATAGGAAAAGAAGGAAGTACTGAAAATTTGATTGCCGAAGAACGAGGCTTTAGAAGATATGAAATTTTCAGTCCCGTGATTGGTCGATTTTCATATCCGTCTACAGATCCCCCACCCCTTCTAATCAGATTCATTCTCTTTTCCAGTTGCATCGCGTTAAATCTTTCGCGCTAGAAATACGATAGGCGTGTAAATCAAGAGAGAAGTCACTCGGCTGAAGAGAGAGATCGAATCGTTGAAAAAATCCAATTAATGAACAAAAGTGATTATCGACATTTTGCGCCCAGAGCTCGCGGCACAGGTGTATACATGTCGATACATTAACGCGCGGACGACGGGCACGGAATTAGGAACGTGCGAACGGGGGCACCCGTTTGGGGGGGGCACCGCATGAGAACCCGCCCAGCGTCGTGCTGCCGCACAGCAATGCACCGACAAACTAAATAATCGACGTCAAAAGCTGTCAAATATGGCGAGGGGCAGCGAGAGAGAGCGGTAATTGACATGTAAAAATGTGAATGGCCCCGCCGCGGCCCGCACTGTGATCTGCGCTTCGATCGGGTGGGTGGGTCGCGCGCGCTCGTGGCCGACGACGCTCGCGGTGTGCGGTGTCTCGCGCGGATCCGGGCGCTACGCGATCGACGACGACGACGGCGGCGAGGACGAGGACGAGGACGAGGACGACGACGACGACAGCGACAGCGACAATCGACGATCGACGACGATGTCGGGCCTGTCGCCGGCGCCTGCCGAGTGCCGGAAGTGAAGGGGGACTCCCCCCGCGCGCGGCAAGGGTGGCCGGAGCAGGAGCCAGACGGGCGACCCCGCACGCAGAGCCGGGCCGGCGGTGGTGGTGTACCGCGGGCGAGGAGGGGCATGGTACGACGGTAATCGGCCGGGCAACACTATGGGCGCCCAGCAGACCAAGGACAGGGTGATCCCCGCCGGGTCCACCGTGCGGCAGACGCGCAAGCAGCCCAGGAGCCTCAAGGATACGCGCGTCATAGGCTCTAACATATTCACCGAGCACAGCGGTGAGAACACGCATACACGCGCACACACGCACGCACGCAACCTATCGGCCACCTGGGGGGACCGCCTCGATCTCACCTGGGATCGCGAGCGGTCCTCGTACACGTTCCACCGGGTGCTCCGGCCGTGTTACGGCACGATAGTTCCGCGACTCGTACCCGTGGAACTGGGCATGCTTTCCCCCGCGTGTTCGACACGGTTGTACTTTCATGACTTGACGCGATTTGATGTCGCGGTATCTTCACGGGCTAGTAGCACTTGATAAGAAAGTAGCACTTTGGAATCTAGTCCATGATGACACTTTCTAACGTGTAAATTAATGTCCGTATTGGCATGCATGTTACTGAATTATAACGTGTGGTCGTTAGTGGCTAAGCCAGAATTTTGTGACACGCAAGCATGTGTGTATGCGTGTGTGTGTGTGTGTGCGTGCGTGTGTGTGTCATAGGAAAGGGAGATAAAAATTGAAAATCACCTGCGTGAAATTACATACAGACGTGACTAGCTAATCATCCTTATTGTATGTTAAATGTTTTGTAATTATGAGATTTTTCCAACATCTTGCATTATATATCATATAAGCAACTGCTTTGAGATTGTCAATGTTAGAAGTCCTCCCGATGGTTACATTTGAAGGATACAAAGAGGTATCGTTTTCTTTTTACAGAGGCACTTTTGCAAAGTAGACCTCTACCTCACATTCCAGCATTGCCAGAAGGTGATCCCCCGAGTGGCTCTAGTGTTCAATCAATTTCACAGCAAGCTAATGTTCAACAACATGGCGGTGTGTCCGCTAGCGGACTCCTTGAAGCGGCAAATAGGTCAGTTTGCTGTTTAAAGTCTGAAGTGACATAAACCGTGCTTATATAATAGCTGTTTTATATAAATTACTTCTGCAAGGTTAGATTATAAAACAGTTTTATATAAATTATTTTTATTATACGAAAGAAATTCCTTGTTACATAGCTCATTTTTTTCTATATATTTCTTTTTACGATCTATAAAATTCAGAATTTTGAATAGGAAGCTAGTAGATGCACTGATTATCAAAAAAATCTGCCATCTTTATATCGTCAATTATTTAGCTTTAGAAATAATATTTTCCATTATGTTTATGCAGATGGACTAGCAAGGAAAATCTCTTAGCACAGGAGGAGGATGATCCTCAATTATTTGTCGCCTTGTATGATTTTCAAGCTGGTGGGGAGAATCAACTTAGTCTGAAAAAGGGTATTAGTTTATTTTTTTTTTATTAAATGTTACATAAGTATCACGTTTTATCGAATTTTACACGAGTTCATGTTAATCGTTTATGAATCTAGTTGAACATAGTTTAAATGTTGTTCTTCAATGTTTGTTCGAACAGGTGAACAAGTACGTATCCTAAGTTACAATAAAAGCGGAGAATGGTGCGAGGCCCACTCGAGCGCCGGGCAGGTGGGATGGGTACCGTCGAATTACGTGACACCCGTCAACTCCCTGGAGAAACACTCTTGGTACCACGGGAGGATATCTAGAAATGCTGCGGAGTATCTGCTGAGCTCGGGGATAAACGGTAGTTTTCTCGTACGGGAGTCGGAGAGCAGTCCGGGACAGCGTAGCATTTCCCTGAGATACGAGGGCCGGGTGTATCACTACAGGATCAACGAGGACAGCGAGGGAAAGATGTTTGTCACGACGGAGAGCAAGTTCAACACGCTGGCCGAGCTGGTGCATCACCATTCAATGCTCGCCGACGGCCTTATAACGCAACTGCTGTATCCTGCACCAAAGCATAATAAGCCTACCGTCTTCCCGTTGAGTCCGGAGCCGGACGAATGGGAGATCAACAGGACGGACATAGTGATGAGGCATAAATTGGGCGGCGGCCAGTACGGTGACGTGTACGAGGCGGTCTGGAAGAGATACAACATGACCGTGGCGGTTAAGACGCTCAAGGAGGACACGATGGCGCTAAAGGACTTCCTGGAGGAGGCGGCCATCATGAAGGAGATGAAACACCGGAATTTGGTGCAGTTATTGGGGGTCTGTACGCGCGAGCCGCCGTTCTACATAATCACGGAATTCATGAGCAAGGGAAACCTCCTGGATTACCTGCGGAACGAGAGCAAGCATCAGATCAACGCCGTGGTTCTGATGCACATGGCTACGCAGATCGCGAGCGGCATGAGTTACTTGGAGAGCAGAAATTTCATCCATCGCGACCTCGCGGCCAGGAATTGTCTGGTCGGCGAGAACCATCTCGTCAAGGTCGCGGATTTCGGTCTAGCCCGTCTGATGAGAGACGACACGTATACAGCTCACGCCGGGGCGAAATTTCCTATAAAGTGGACCGCGCCGGAGGGTCTGGCGTACAATAAGTTCTCCACGAAGGTACAGAGATCTCGTTAAGAAGGTATAATTATCTAGATTACGAATATTGATAAGTGATGATTTTTATAGTCTGACGTATGGGCATTCGGTATCTTGCTGTGGGAGATCGCTACTTATGGAATGTCCCCTTATCCCGGTGTCGATTTAACGGACGTTTATCACATGCTCGAAAAAGGCTACCGAATGGAATGTCCCCCCGGTTGCCCACCGAAAGTTTACGATCTGATGCGTCAGTGCTGGCAGTGGTCGGCTTCAGAGCGGCCAACTTTTAAAGAGATACATCACTCGTTAGAAAATATGTTTCAAGAATCGAGTATTACCGAGGGTAAATGGAATATTCTAGATAACTAGTTTTACTTTGTGTCAAGAATTGCGCTCTTATTGTGTTTCCGTACGTATTGCAGAGGTAGAGAAGCAGCTTCAAGGTGGGGGGGAAATTCCATTGCTAACATACAAAAAATCGCAGACTGGAAGTACAGGAAATATCCATGGACTTGTTCTTGTATCCGAGCAATTATCTTCTTCCGGTATAACGCAAGGTAATCCTTGATGCTATAATAACGAGTCGATAATGAGTGTGACACGTTTTAACATTGAAATAAGAAGGTGTTGTTATAGTTCTTGCAATAAATGATAAAATGATTATAAAAATGATAAATGATAAAAAAATATAATTTAAGTTTGATTTTTCAAAATTTTAATACACAGATATATTGAATAATTTTATTGTTTCTGATACCTTTAAAAAATAGAACGCTTGGGTATAATTTAATGTCTCGCTTTATATTATAAAATTATTATTCAGTATAGCCAAAAAAATGTATATTTTATGTAGAAGGAGCGAGTGCGGTCACCAAGCTGAGTACCTTTATGGGAGGCTTATCAAGTAGGAGTAATAGTAATATGGTTCAAATGCGAAGATCCACCAATAAAAAAGGAAAGCAAGCGCCAGCACCTCCTAAGCGAACGAGGTACGTTATCTTTTGTTTTCAAAACATGAACAATTATGAGTCGATATATAACGAAGCAATGTATCTTCTTATGACAGCTTGCTATCATCGTGCAGTTCTTTTCGTGATTCTGCCTATCAAGAGCAAGACCAGCAAAATGTCGAAGTGAGCACTATGACGCTTGACGATGGCACAGATCTAAATGGTATTGATAAGATTTTTGAAGGTATTCCACTATATCAAATTAAGTTGTAATGACGAATGCACGAATGCCGCTTCCATTTTGATTTTCTTTCGTTAACTTTCAGTTTTGACTTTTGAAATTTAATTTTGATATGCATCTCCGCCTACAGTGATTTTACGGCTTCATGAATGTGGGTCATTCTCCTCGAGCCAGTATGTATACTCTTGTATGTTGAATACACGCCGAATACTAATTTCCGGTATATATAATAGTACTTGGATATATTTTATTAATGCATACTCTCGAGCGTCTGCATCTCGTACATACTGTAAGTCGTAGCTTACAATTCTTCGTTCCCACTTGTACGAATAAGGGGACGAGATTACTTTACATATTGCTATCGTACTGAGTTACAAACCCAACAGGCTCCATATATACTCATGCATGATATTTGTTTCCGCAGAGGTACAAGTAGAATGTCTCGTTTTTTTTTTTCTTTAGTTTTAGATTCCTAGATATGTATCTCGTTTTGATTTCTTTTTTTTTTTTTTTTTTTTCGTTTGATTATTCTCATTTTAAAGATCGAAACATTCAACTGCGCCAAGGGGCGTTAGTTATTATTTCGTCGATTTTGTCATCGTATAAAACTCAACTGTGTTCAAGCAGTGTTATGTGAGTTTACTGAGCTTCCATTCATACATATCTATTCATGCGGTCACAACAAATCATTCATAAAACTAACACACGTCATATACCATTTCTCATTTCTCACTGATTGTTCATTGTCGAGGACGTCATGGCACTCTTTTAACTAACTGAATAGGATTACAATGAGCACAATTTGCGGATCTGCTGTTAACTGAATGTCGATTAAAGGAGAATGACCCTGGGATGAATGGAGTGAAGTGAGTGGCGAGAAGGAAGAGCAGAGATTAAGATTGATAGGCGCCGCAAATATTCTTTTCTCTTAGCTTTCCTCCAGAAAATGTCTATAACACGCGTTGCGCTTACATGCTGGAGAGATGTGTTAGCTATATAGATTGTATACAGTACACCTTATTAAATGGCGACTCAGGTATCACACGTGATCTCGTGACAATGGCTACACAGTCAATTACTACAGGAGGTTGCGATATGGACGACGACGGAGATGGGTCGCAAGGGACAGCAGAACATAACTTTGTTCCTCAACCGTCAACCTCGCCGGAACCAGTATCCAACTTACCGTGCAATCAGAAACAAATTAAATCTCGACCTTACACGTCTAAGGAAGTACTGCCTCAGAAGGTACAATGATCTTACGTTGAGCGGCCACAATTTCTGAGCTATATAAAATACTAGACACATAAAACATACCTTCTTTACCCGTGTTACGATGTTAAATATTATCGGAAACCGTAACGATAACATTTCTGTATATGCCTGTGTTGAGAATCTCAGAGTAAAGTTCGTTTCGATGGTAAATGCATTTAGCACTGCTTGAATAACTTGCGATGCTTCGATCTGAGGCAGCGGGATTCCACGATTTAGAGCGAAAATGTATTTCAGCTGGTACACGTGGGTGCGCTGGAGGTGCAAAATGTTAAGAGGGCGATCAACCGCTACGGCACTCTGCCGAAAGGAGCCAGAATCGGGGCGTACTTGGAGTCCCTGCGGCAGAGCGGCATGCCGCCGAATCAGGAGAGCATCGCCGCGTCCTCTCTGGCCAATGCGGTTATGGAGCAGCAGCAGCAGCAGCAGGACATCATCACCGCGAGCGTCGTCGACGTGATCCCGCAGCATCGTTCCCTTTCACCTCGCCAGAACAATTTACGCAGCCAACCGCAGATGACGCGCAGCAACTCCTCGAGCGGCGTGGTGAATACCTATCAACCGCCGAACTCGCCGCGCAGTCGCGCCGTGGGTATCCGAAAGACCAACACGGAGAGCATCGGCCTGCGGACCTTCCGAGCGCCGAACAACTCCAGCTTTCGCACCGCCAGCCCGTCGAGATCGATCCAACCGACTCTGGCCGATCTGGAATTCCCGCCACCGCCGGTGGATCTACCACCGCCTCCAGACGAAGCCTTCGATCACTGCGACCTGCCGCCACCCATAGCAACGGCATCACCATGCACCGAGACGTCCTCTTCTCACGCGAAGATCGCGACCTCGCCGGTCGGTCTTAGGAAGGTGAAGGCGGAATGGCGGAGCAAAGACGAGATCAGCGATCACGATCAGGACGATAGGAATAACGATGTGAGGAACGCGGAACCGTCGGTGAAGGAGGCTAGCTCGCGATTCGGCGTGAATCTGCGACGCCGGGAAACGATTACCAGCGATGCGCACTGTGGCGGTGGCAGCGGCGGCGGCGGCGGCAGTGGCAGTGGTAGTGGCATCGGTAAATCCGCGGACGAGAAGAAATTAGTTTACAGGCCAAAGGAGACGGCGAGCAGCGGCGCGATCAAAGCGGAATCGTTGGAAGCGACGATCGCGGCACCCGAGGAAGCGCCACCGCCGCCCCCGCCACCGCCACCGCCCATCGACGGTGCCGCAATCGGGGCCGGCGCCACCGATACCTTCGAGTCCAAACCCGGCATGAAGGAAATGCTGGAGCTCAAGCTGATCAACGAGATCAAGCAGAGCGCGGACCTGAAGCACGGTGGTACCGGCTCCGCGAAGAAGATCAGCAGCGTCGCTGGTGGCAATGCGCCTTTGTCGGCGGCGCCACTCGACCCGGCGTCGCAGCTCCTGTCCGAGTTGTGCGCCAGCTTCAGCATGGATTCCGCCAGTAGGCAGCATATCGTCCCGAGCGAGTACGCGATCTCGGGATTGTTGAAGAGCAACGACGTGTCCATCGTTCAGGAGCACGTTCACGCGGGTATGCAGGGCGCGCAACCCGAGAGGAGCAGCACAAGTCACAAAGAGATCCCAATGACCTCGCCGATTACGGAGGGCCACGTACTGAGTGCCACTAGCGTAGGTTTCAAATTGAAGAAGGTCGACAAGAGAAATAATCCGCAGAGGGAGGAGAATCCGGACGGGCAGATAATCGATTTCAAGGCCCGATTGCGAAAGGTCGACAACGCCGACAAGGAGAGGGCGGACGAGAGGAGCAAGTCGTCGCGTTTCGACGACACCACGCAGGGGAGTAACGTCGCGGATTCGGCGGACTCGTCGTCCGGCGTGGACGACGCGAACGATGACAAGCGCCGCAGCACCGGCAGTATTAGTAGCCTAAAAAAATTGTGGGAGAACAAAGAGGCTTCTTGTGATAACCAACCACTTAGTCCTAAATTAAACGTGAGAGGGGCGAGTAGCAAGCAAGACACCGGCGACGTTGCGAGCGAGGACTCGCCGGAGGATCACAGCGGTGCCTCGACCAGGAGCTCGACCAGCAAAAGCGATCCGCGAGTGTGGCCGCCGACCTCGTCGTCCACGGTAACTCTGGAAGTGGAGAAGCCGATCGTGCCGGCCAAACCGTTGAAACCGCTCGGACCCTCCAGCAAACACTTTGGTTCCTCGATATACGCCACGCCGAATTGCAACAAGTCGTCGCAGAATGACGATGACGGCGGCCAGAAGCAGACCAGCGGCGAGACGACGAAGGGGGCGAAGCACAGCGTGATGGAAATCTCGAATGTCATAGAGAACAGTATTCTGAATCTGAAGGGCAGCCCCACCATCGTCATGGCCAGCTGGCTGCAGCTGTCCGACAAGGTCGGTCTGCTGCACGGCATGTGCGTCAACCTTACGGACACGGCGATCGCGCCGCACGCGAGATTCCAGTTCCGCGACCTGCTCACCCGGCTCGAGCTGCAGGCGAGGCAGCTGCGGGCCGCCGGCACGCGCAACATCACCGAGAACACGAGACTCTTGTGTGACGTGCAGAATACGATAAAGGACGTGATAAACACGGTGCAGAGGTAAAAGCTTGCACCGTGCCAGCCGGTCGAAAAATCAAAACGAGCATCCCACCCCCTCTGCGAGTTTTTCCCCTGCGCTCCTCTCCTGTGATGTATCCCGATCGCAAGAAGTCATCACTCTCGTCCCTCCTATCTCTCTTTCTCTCTCTATCTCGTCGCATCCGCATGTGGGCGTATAGTATACATAAATCTATATAAATATATATATCTAAGTCACTAAGTAAGGTTTTATCAAGGAATGAAATCTTTTTTTGAAAAGCATAGCAGTTAATCTACGAGCGAATACGAATAAGAGTGAATTTTTATGTGAATAAGTTCTTAATGGACGATACGATTTTACGACTGCATGATCGTTAGGGGAAATTAATCCAAAGTTGCATGAGAGAGAGAATCCGCCGGTGTACACTTCTCGACACGCAATCGCAACAGGGACACAACATTTACCGAGATGAACATACACAATTTGAACTCGGGATCCTGCGTGACAAATTCTATAAGTTCGTATACATTTATACATCTATCTGCCTGCGTACCATTCATACGGTTCTTTTCTTTTTTTTTTTTTAAGATCTTTGGGAGATCCGCTATGAGATCAGCGTGCAATTCACGGGCCTGGCAAAAAAAAAAAAAATACGGCCTTTAAAGACGAGAAGGAATATACACCATTGCATGATTGAATTTTTATGTCGAGACGTACGACGGTTTTTCATATACGATAGTAAATGTGATGATTATAGTTACTGTATGGGATAACTGGATCACGCAAATTCTTCAGTAGGGTATATAATCGGCGCATGATGAGCATATTGAACGCGAAGGCGCGAGGGTCATCGCGGACGCGAAAATATCGACACGCTAATCTATATTCTCGAATCGCTTACGTATCGCGTATACATATATATATATATATATATATATAAATCGTTTCGTTTTACATGTAATTTTATACACACGTCGTGCTTAGTATATACATATATTATTATACGCGAGATTTTTAGACTAGACTATATATATATATTATATATATATATATATGAAAATACGGACACACCTAAAAGCGTAAGCCGTTTTATGTGTACTGTGGGACAATATAAACGATTTTGTATTTGTATAGAGTAAGTTGGGATGAAAAACACAGCTATACACGCGCGATAATCGATTACGCCTACACGTAAAATTCAAACAAGCCACAAAAAATCGAATTGTAATTAATCAAACAATTTTTGAGTGTCGTGTGCTTCGTTCTTATCCATGATGGTAGAGAAACCATGATGGTTATATGGCTCTTCCAAAAAAGCACAATAGCGGAAATATTCGCCTGAAGACCAATCCATGCGAACGCGATTCAGTAACAGTTAATTTACGGGAAGTGCGATCGACAGGGGTCACACATGTTAATGCCAGAATGCGAGAGCCGGAACAAAGTAACGGACAAATAATAATAATACGACATATATTATCTGTGTTTTGTACAGTATTCTCTACATGCTGTCGTAATGCAATGGAGGTTTTTAAATATCGTGCATTTGTTACTCGCACTTTATTCTTCCGTATTATTCATTCGTATCTCGCGTTACGTTTTTACATTTTTTAGATAAAGAAAAACGGAAAGGAGTGAAATAAGCTTTAGTATTATATACGCAGTTACAATTTCCGTTGTTTATATGACGATGTAATGTTACAAAGTTCCATGCAGATGCTCGAACTGTACGCATCCCTGCGGTGAACAAGTAAGCTAAGTTTTTGTAGTTTGTAATACATCGACTGTAAAGTTATATTGGCGCCCCCCCCCCCCCCCTCCGCCCGATAGTGGATTCCCCGTACTGATTTTTATGGAGGTTTTCAGGCTTATACTTCATTCGGCTTGTGCTCGAATAACTAAAGGAGAATGCAATAGATACGGGAAATAAGTCACCGACGAACCTATTTCTTATGACACTGCCTATATCATACGTTACAGCTAGTAGTATACATACTGAATTCACTAGTAGTCTTAAAAAATCATGTAAATGTATTTCTTCTTTTCAATCCAATCTCCCAAGTTTCTTTATATTATGTTTCGTACCTGTGATAAACTAATCAAGCCTCCTCTTCTTTCTCTTCTTTTCGTCAAAAGAATCATGCTCAACAGAAACGATAAATAGTTTATACGAACGAATTTTAGTCATCTGAGGTTTATTCGAAATGAAATTGTATTATCGAAAGAGAGATGCTAAAATTAATGTTTTATATAATGTGTATTATAGTAATCTTATGTCTCTATTTATACTCTTGTATTTATTTCTAATATTTTTTGATATAAAATTACTCCCTTCACAAGAATCGACCAACGTACTGATTTACTAATACAAAATTTTAATATTGCTTTATACATTGATATAAGATTGAAAACGAAAATAAAAATAATTACCGAATTATGTTGTTTTTTTTTCCAATTTGGATGGCTCGTGACTTTGTCCTGGATATAATACTGCGTACTGTCAGAATTGTACTTTATTTTGCTACATTATACTATCATATGGACAAATAACATACACATTGTGTTGGTTTTATGAATTTATTATGTATAAAATATATAACATATTACGATATATATTTATATATTATTTAATGTTTAAACATTTTTTTGGGAAATTATCACAGCTTACAAACTGTCATCCTTTATTAACTATTGTATCACAGTAATAATTATTATAATAAGCAGTCTTATTGCAGTCTTATCAGGTCCCCAATAGTTAATAGTATCTCGTGTTATTGTGGTAGGTCGACCGTTCGAAAACAGTCGATTACGATTTTCCATTTATCATCCGCGGCTGTAATTAGGAACGTTTGATTAAACATTTTGCAGCTCTCCTTGTACCTCACTTGACCGCTAACCTTGATCAGAATCGTTAATTGACCGTCGTCTGGACCTATTTGCGAAACGTAATATATATATACTTTAATATCCCCATGCAGGCTTTATCATTTCATACCGTGTTGACGATAAATTTAACAAACTTCTAGTATCGTGTGTATTATTGTGAGACAAATAGTGAAATAAAAACACAGATACCGTATCAAACATGCAATATTCAAATAAGAGAATTCATTTAGGCGTGACGAAGAAATTCAAGAGTGCAAAAATCCAAGTCACAAAAGACAAAAATCGAAATACAGATACAAATGTGATGGATCTGATATTTTCAAATATTTCTACTTGTCTCATATTTTTATAGTCGAAAATGCAAGAATATGATGCGAAAATATATTAGCGTTTACGTATAATTGGCTGAGCATCAAGAGTATAAATAGTATGTTCTGAGGATGGCAGATCTGTCCAGAACGTTTGTATATTATCTTTGCCGGCTACGCCATTTCCGTTCCACATCAGAATAGCGTTGTCCATGTACATTCTTGAGATTATCTGCAATTATACGCGTACACAGTTAATACAGTTAGTAGTTATATTATAGTTAATATAATAAAGGAAAAGAGGGAATATGTTTGGCAGCATCGTTATCACTTACATTTCTCTGTTTGTCGATATACTTGTAGTACAGTTTCGTGAATTCCTCGGCAATTTGACAAGCCAAGTCGACATTAGCCCGTAAGCTCTGCGAAAGTGAACATAGACATAAGGACCATGGTGTAATCAAATATATATGTATATATATGTGTATATATATATATATATATATATATATATATATATGATCAAATATCCGAAATGTGTGTGTAATGCATTAGCATAATTGTCACACGTATATACGCTTTCAGAAGTTCTAACTTTATAAAAATATAATTGCTGGAAGGATAAATCGGCAATTTATTTATCATATCGTTAGCCATATATTTTAATAACATATAAAATATATCTATTAATATATGGATTTAGGTGTAATCGATTAGCCAGTATTATTTAGTAAGTAAGCCAGACTTATGCTGTAAATCATAGCATTTTCATTTTCAATCAATGTATAAACCTTCTTTTAAAAATTCATATGCAATAAGTGTCATTTTGATAATTAATACATTGTCAAAGTCATGCATCAAGTATGTGATACATTTCAAAATATTCAATTAATCTTTTTTTAAAGTTCTACTATTAATATTCAATATTTGGAGAAAACAAAACATATGTGTGTATTTATGTTGTTTAAGCTTATTTAAGACATAAAGGTGATTTTATTTACTCAACCAGAAACGACATGATAAATTACTTCCAGCAGAGTGCAAGACTAATAAAAGAAAAATATACAAGTCTGTATTTAATTATAGGATTTACTTTATTTTTTAGAAAATTTGTAAAAACGTTTGAGTTTCAGATACTTCAACATTGTGCAGAAGCCCAATAGGACTTGGGTACTCCTTAGCAAATTTGGCGTGGCAATTAACGTGTTAATTGATGTACTTAACAGATTTGTGTCACGCCGTTTTTATGCGACTTAACATTCAATTTCGTTTAATTTGAATATAAGCAGATACATTATTGAATACGTTCGGGGAGATATTATTATTACCACTATAAGTGCAAACGCTGTCAATAATACAGACTGTGGAGCCAAAGCGAGAGCTCCACGGACTAGAGTAGCACTGCTGTTTCTTCAATCCTTTTTTTCACTATGATACAGCTTATAGAGTTGTAAACAAACAATAACAGCGTGAGTAATGCAAAAATAAACATATATATCTAACCAATAATATTCAAGAGTGATCACAAAAGTTGGGTTAGTTTTGTTAGAAACTTTCAAAAAATTTTTTTAATCTGAACTCGGCACTCTCTAAACAGCTCTAATTATTGTCTCCTCGAACGCATTGTTATAAAATTAAATGAAATGAACGACAAGTCCGGCGGCTACCGGTAGTATATACGTGTTTGAAATGCGTTGAATGAAACATGGGTTGCAGCGTAGCTCTCGTGACGTCGTAGCGAACACGTTTTACAACTTGTTATACGTATAAATAAACGTACCTGTATAATTTTTCTTTTATTACTTGTGTCTCCGTCCATGCAAATTTCCATTTCGAACGACTTTCGTATTGAAACGTGTACGAAATGACAAAAACGCACAAGACAGGACGGACAGCTCTTCGGACTCTCGGACTCAGAGCCTGAGCAGAAAGATTGTTGTTACTGCTTCCGACAGATGTCGTAGATCAACGCACAAGGAATTGTCGTGAACGTAGCTTTAGGCCCGTTTTACAACACGTCGTATGACGGGTCGGTAAGCCGTAAAGTCGGTATCAGACTAAAGATTGAGATTGGAATGGAATTTGACCAATTAAAACAGAGTTCACTAAATTTGAGATTGGTTTTCTTTCTTCTAATTGGTTAAACTCCAATTGAATCTCAATCTCAATCTTTAGTCCCGAAACACAATAGGTGTTGTAATCCTTAAGCCGTAAGAAATGAACCAATCGCAGTTGAATTTGAAGAGAATAATGGATTATGATTGGTCAATTTCTTAAGGATTATAACACCTATTGTGTTTCGGGACTAAAGATTGAGATTCAATTGGAATTTAATCAATTAGAAGAAAGAAAACCAAGGCTTACTACATCTATTGTGTTTAATCTGATACGAGCTTAAGAACTAATCAATTATGATCGAATATTCTTCTTACATTTGACTGTGATTGGTCACTTCTTACGATTTACGGCTTACGACCCGACATACGACATATTGTAAAACGGGCCTTAATAACAATTCCTTGTGTTGTTCTATGACTACGATAGAGTCCCTAGAAAGGAAAATCTGGCCATGCTCCATAAAATGGCGTCTGTAAATGTGGCTTATGTATACACGCATACACACATCATACAATACATTTATAATTTCTAGTGAATCATGTAGTGTATGTACGATTTCTGTGTTATGTGATTGATGACGCCATTTTGAGGGAATTTGGGATTGACCAATGAGAGCAATGACGGTGAATGGATCTTTCTCTCTCTCTCTCTTAAGTCGGTTCTACATTAGTTGCAAGCCGATCGCAAGCTTGTTGCGACAGCCAATCCGAAGCATTGATTTCAAAATGCAAGCTTCAGATTGGTTATCTCAACAAGCTTACAATGGGCTTGCAACTAATGTAGAACCAGCTTTATAGAGACTCTAGACTACGATCAGAGAGGATCCGAGAAAGGACATGACAGTTTTTTGGCTGTAACGCTAAAATGCCCTCGTACTAACGCCCTCTGAAGAAGTAGATCCAAATTATATATAGCAAAATCCACTTTTTTGCACAATTTGTGATACATTTCCGTACATTCAAAAGTGTAATTTTTCAAGAATAAAGCCCCAGTCCCAGCAGACTCAAAAAGTGTATTTAATACGGACACGCATCATAAATTGTGCAAAAAAGTGGATTTTGCTATATGTATTTTGGATCCACTTCTTCAGAGGGCGTTAGTTCACGAGGGCACTTTAGCACAGCCTTAATTTTGCCGATTTCTTGACGTTTCGGAATTAAGGTTGCGCACGTGTAACGACAGGTGTCGCGGTCGGCGGTGGCCGCTTGGGTTCGGTGACGCACCTGTGGTGTGCGGCCGCCGATCTCACGGGCATTCGCGTGAGCCGTGCGCGGGCGAGATCGCGAGATCTCGCTGGGTCGGTCACGTGACGCCGTACTTCCACAGTTATTTTTTCAGGCATGATGGCGCCAAACGCCAGTATTCACTTTTATGTAAATATATTATTGATTTGGTGCGTACCGCGATCGAGCACGAGCGTTCGCCGTACCGCGGCCGGCCGTCGTAAGTAGCCCCGTCGCGGGGTAGCGCGCGGACCGCCGGCGGAGTGAGTAACAGACTGGCCTGCGCCGCCCGCCTGGAATCGCTAATGAGGACATGTTGGTTAGGCTGCCGTGACAGAGAGAGAGAGGACGAGGCCGTTACGCACTTGCTGGCAGGAGCCCGTCGGCGTGTTCGCGGCGGCTCGGAAGCGCGCACGGCGACCGCCGGCGGCCCCGCGGCCGGTTTCACGCCCGCCCGCGATCACGTGCCGCCTCGCGCGCGGAAATATATCCGGCTAATAGATCAATAATAAGGTATTTAATGGTCTTCCCGAGTGTGTGTGTGTGTGCGCGCGGGGGAGACTTGTGGTGGAGTGCGCGCGACGCTGCTGCCATCTGTATTGTCAATGTTGTCGGGCAGCAGCAGCAGCAGCAGGAGCACCAGCACCAGCAGCAACGTAATGGAGCCGTGAGCATTCTCGTAAGCCGTACGCAATTGCATCACCGTTGCCGACACCGTGATCCCCCCGTGTGTGTACAATGAGATTTAACGCCGCCCGCGGCCCGCTCGACCGTCGACACGTGCAGTGAGTGTGAATGTGTTGCCCCGTTAAAAACGCCGCGAGAGCCGAAGCTTTAGCACAGCGAGAGCGCGATCGCGGGTCGACCCGTTCTCTCTCTTTCTCTCTCCCTCCCTCTGTCTCTCTCTCACACACTCTGCGTCCAATGTTTACATGATCGGTACCCGCGGACGGTGATCGTGGATCGCAACTGTCCGCCGATCCCACGGCCGTGGCCCGTTGTCCGACCACGTCCCCGCACGCGCCCGTGTCTCGCGCTCCGCTCCGCGTCGCGGTGCGGTGCGCCACGCGAACGTCAGACCCGTCGCGCCCGTCGCCGCCGCCGGGACACCGCGGCGACACGCGCATCCAGTCGCGGTGCCTGCGTTTTTTATAACCTCTTTTCTCTCGCCCCCGCGTACGGTGGTACGGGGCCACGGTGGTTGGTGCCAGCGGGGACGGACGCGCGCGCGAACCGATCGTGTTTACACCCGACGAAGACGACGACGACGCGACGCCGTTTGGTGATGTCGCGCGCGCATTGGAGAAACGTCCGCGAGGGTGTCCTGACGCTGGCTGGCTGGCTGGCCGCCGTGCCAGATCCCTTCCCGCGCACCCCCGTCGTCGCGGACAAGCATTGTCGTCCTTAACCCTTTACGCGGACTCGCATTTCTCGCGTAGGACGTTGATCTCTCTCGCCGCCGTGTAGTAAACTGTCGTCCACACGCGAGTCTCGGTCTGCACGCGACCGATTTATTTATTTATTTATCTCTGGACTCGAGAAACTGTACCTCTGCTCTTGTTCCTTGCGATAGACTGTCGTGTCCGTGCGTTGTAATCCTCTTTTTCTGTTTAGTGTTTTTCGTAAGTGCGCGACACTTTTCGAATGTTTTCTTTTCTTTTATCATTCTCGCACATGGCGTGTGTTTTTCCCTTCCATTCAAAATAGAGATCTTATATTTTAACGTATATGTCATTTCTTATATATTTCGGATATTTTCTTATTTTAGCATATGTGTATGTTTACTTTTTTTTTCCCATTTGAGATATAAATTTGTGTACTGTACCACATCGAATATGTGTATTTTTTTTCTCTTGCGGATTTGTTTTCTTTTCCAATTAAAGTATATGAGTTATTCTATGTATTATGTAGATATTCAAACCATTATTTTTATTTAGAATATTTTATGTAGAATATTCTACGTAAAATGATAGTTTTAATGTTTCTGAGATGTCAATCAAGAATTTAAATGCAAATGTAGAACTCTAAACAAAGTTAGTGGCCATTAATAGTTAAAATTGTGAATTATTATGTCAAGTTGTAGATATTAATAGAACGAACCGGTTTGCAATCCAGTCCCTATTATTTTTTAAAAATAATCTTTTAAATATTGTTATCTATTAAATTACACGTCTCGTGTCATTAGCTGAAAAAATTATCCTTTGCATAATTTTCTTGCCAATTTGTAAGATATGAAATCAAGCAACATGTTCTTTATGTTTCAGTTTTGAAGATAATCTGCTTTCCAGATAATAAATATATGGATAACTATGTAGTAAGTTTACCTTCTGCATAATAATTTTTTAAATACATGTCAGAAAGAGAAGGGAAATGCTCAAGAAGTGCGCAATTGTCATTTCAGGGTGTACACAGTTCACCTGCATGTGCCACGTACCACTAGCTTATTTGGCATAGTAGAATGGCACAACGAGGCAAGAGGCATAGAAACGACAATGATCTGGCGTCTTGTCCGGGCGCTGTTAAAAGGCGCAAATGCAGATTGGGCCCAGCTGCCACTGGTTCATCGGCACTGGCAGCGACCATGGGGCCCTCAGAAGAAGAGGAAACGATGGCGTCATCCAGCCAAGGGGGGGCACCCTGGACCGCCCGATCTGTCAGTGATATCAAGATTCCCAGTATATACAATCGCTCGTCCGCGGAGGCGCCAGCGGAGTTATTTCGTAAAGACCTGATCAGCGCTATGAAATTGCCGGACAGTGAACCATTGAGTCCAAACGAGTATTGGGTTATAACCGATCAGTGGAAGCAGGAGTGGGAGAGAGGTGTTCAGGTACCCGTTAATCCGGATTCTCTTCCCGAACCGATGGTTACTGTCACGCAGGCGTCTCCTTTGAAGTTACAAGCTGAATTCAAATTGTGAGTGCATAATGTGGTGTATTGCTCTAAACTATGTGAGATACTTTGATCGCTTGAAATCACTAAAGTGCGGTGTAATGGTCTTGTAACGAAATCGTTCTCTGTTTTTCAGGCCTAAAAAGTTAGTAAGAATATCTCGTGATGATTATTTTAACTCGGAGGATCATCATTTAAGTACTACTCCTGCAAGAGCGGAGAAAGCCTGTGCTTATGACCTCGACGATACTGACATTGCATGGTTGGAAGTATTCAATGGCGAACGAGCACAGGTACAATCAATTGTTCACTGCTATATTAAATCAAGTGACATCTTTTTGAGATTAATTTTTTAAGTTTTGTGCTTAAAGAATCTGTAAAACATTTTAAAAAACATTTTAAAGAAAATATGATTAATAAGGTAACAAGCTTTTTTTTAAATATAAACATATATAAAGTTATAAAAAGATTATAAAAAGGCAATGTTATAAAAATGTAAAACCAGGTTAAAAGTTTTAATGTATTAAGAGAATAATATATTTAATCTTTTTTTTTTTTTAATTTTGTACACAAAGCATATGTGTAATATATTTTAAAAAAGGTACAATTAAAAAATTATAAGATTTTTTAATATAAATGTTATATAAAATTACATTGTAAAAAATAAGACAAAGTAAAATATTTTAGTATATCTGTTGAAAGACAAATATATTTAATAGAATGAAAATTTTAAATAATTTCTGATTCCTAAGTATATGTGAGACAATATGAATATTTATCATGGAGGAGTATTTAAAACTAATTAAAATATCTATAATAGTATTTTAGCAATCATTATTTTTCTAATGATAAATAATTTGAAAACATTTTTACTATTATTGAAATAATTATTAATAAAAATGTATGCAACTATTATTGTATTAACGATTTTTATTAATTCTTCTATACATGTAGTATTTATGAAATAATTAATATTTTATGTTAAAATTGTCTAGGCTGGACAACCGCCGGTTATAGAATCGCAGTTGGAACGTGTCATAGAGGAGTTGGAAGTGCGATGTTGGGAAAGGATCCAAACAATCGTGAAGAATGAGGAGGGACTTGGGATTGAGTACGACGAAAATGTCATTTGTGACGTTTGCAGATCGGTGAGTGACTTATTTATTTTCATATAATCGAAATTTGGAACATTTGTATTAAATGATCTATTGTACGTGTCCTCGCATGCGTATGATATACATTTTAATTTGTATTGGAAGCTTCATAACACGTGAAAAATTTTTATGTTAGCCGGACTCCGAGGAAGGTAACGAGATGGTGTTTTGTGATTGTTGCAACATATGTGTACATCAAGCTTGTTACGGCATTACTTCGATACCCGATGGCTCTTGGTTGTGTAGAACTTGTTCGTTAAGTCAAAGACCCGACTGTGTATTATGTCCTAATAAGGGAGGTGCAATGAAGTGCACACGGAGCGGTCAAAAATGGGCCCACGTCTCGTGTGCGCTTTGGATACCCGAAGTTAGCATTGGTTGCGTAGAGAGAATGGAACCAATTACAAAAATATCCAGTATTCCGGTAAATAATAGTCTTATAATTATATTGAGATCTATTATTTTTATCATTATTTAAATTGAAGTCAATTTTTGAAAGATCTCTTTTTCGAGACATTGTATATTCTATATTATATATAATTCTAAATATCTTAAATTAACTTGAGATTTCTTCACTGTGATTCTGAACACAAACTGAGTATAATAATAACGAATTGCAGCAAAGTCGATGGGCCTTAATTTGCGTTTTATGCCGCGAACGTGTGGGTGCTTGCATCCAGTGCAGTATAAAGACATGTAAGACAGCGTATCACGTTACGTGTGCTTTTAAATATGGGTTGGAAATGAAGGCTATTATCGAGGACGAAATGGCAGACGATGGTGTAAAGTTAAGGGTAAGCTATCGTACGCGATCGCAATTTATTGAAATTATTGTTTCGCGGCTACAACTATGTAGTCAATCCGATAATTTCGTGTTTCTAGTCGTATTGTCAAAAGCACAGTAGAACAAATACAAAAGACAAAGTCGGCGTTGGCGGTAGCGTAGGAAGTGGTGGAAAGGGTGGGTCAGATTCCGAGGATGGTGAATCCAGACGACGAAAACGGAAAGACATGACTTCCGAAGAAAAGAATCAAGCACGCGCAGCTAAGTATGTGGCATAATCTTTTAACATACTTTTGGAAATCTGTAGAATTATAAAGATATTAGCTGTATTTTATTAAGTATTCAAAAATTTAATATAAATAATTTTTTAAATAATGCAATAATAAAATATATAAAATTCTATACATATAAATCATACTTGAAAAGAAATATTTAAATATATCTTATAAATATATCTCTTGTTATATATTTACGAACTCTATATTAATGTCTTGTATTTTACGTATTTTAAAAAGAATCTTTATAAAATTGTGTCATAAAAAATAAGTGTAATATATGTGTTGTTTTCATATCAGACTGCAAGAAATTGAAGCGGAATTTGATAAGCATGTTAGTATAAAGGATATTACTTCCCAACAATTGGATATAGATCCCGATAGCATCATATACATATACAATTATTGGAAACTGAAGAGACGAGTAAGTCGTCGATACAAATTTCTAGATTCCCAAATATCACATTGGATACGGTTTGTAATTCGTGTATATTACTTTTTAGGCCGGTCATAATAAACCGTTGTTAGCTCCTCGTTGCGGTGAACTATCGGGCGCGGGAGCACGCGCTCAGGGTCAAGCGGCCGATGTAGAAAAGATGCGTACGTTTGTCCAATTGCGACAAGATTTGGAAAGGGTGCGGAACTTGTGCTACATGGTCGGCCGCCGCGAGAAGCTCTGTCGTACCTTCCTGAGATTGCGCGAACAAACCTTCCACAAGCAGGCAATGCTGATGGCCGGACCGCCAATGTCTCCGACGATGGTCGCCGCTATTATCGAGGCCAATCACGGGCCCTCGATATACGACCGTCTCTATTCCCATACCGATGCCGAGGATCACACACATGACTTCAACACAATACTCGCGCGCATCAAAGTTGAGTCGCCTACGCCAGCGTCTAACGACGAGAAGAAAGTACAACCGGACTTCAACGGTGCGTCCAACAAGAAACCCTACTTCAACGGCTCGGTCAGAGGGAAGAGCCTGTACGGAAGTGATTTGTCGTCCATGAGCAGTAGCGAGACGGACGCGGTGAAGCCGGAAAGAAAAGCTACTGGCAAATGTACGAGCAAATCTAAGAATATAAAGGTCGAGAGCGAGTCGAGTTCAGAGGACGACGGAAATGCAGCGCCGAAGAACAAAACTCCCACTAGGCGGAAAACGAAGAAGAACGCGTCAGACAGGCCACGGGCAAAATTGCGTGATAGCAGCGAGAGCGACAAGCTAGACATGGTGAACAGATCACGTACTCTGCAACATATGGAGCTCGGTAGTTCCGGCAGTGAGAGCGACGAATTGTTGCCGTTGAGCGCCAACGCCAGCTCTCGCCTGGGTCCATCCGTAGCTTCTGCCATATATTCGGATACTGATTCAGATTCCCAGGAGCATCATTCCCACTCGGCTGTACTTATCACGAAAGCTGCAGTGAAGGAATTCTCAGCAGCGGATATATCAAAGAACTCGCAGAAGAACTTCGCGTGTAAGGATGCCGCAAGAGCAGAATATCAGGATGAATCCACGAAGAACAAGGAGAATATGAAAAACTCTAAGAAGAAGGAATACATACCATCCGCTCTGATAGTTCCGCAGCGGCAAGCGGCGAAGAAGGCATCTGAGATCATGCAACGAACACAGGGTAAGAAGGAGAATACTGCGAACGAGCCCGTGGAGTTCGTGAAGTCGCCCGGGGAGCCGCTGAAACCAACTAAGGAGAAGCCATCTGGCAAGAAACAGCGTGACAACAAAGCGCCGAAGGACGCTAAGAACAATGACGTTTACGATTTCGACAAGGAGTTCGGCGACGGCACGGAGATCCTCGCTTACGTGCCGCAACGGCAGGCTGCAAAGAAAGCCGCGGAGCACATCAAGAGTGGCATGGGCACGAAAACTGCTCAAGCGGAGCTCGAAACCGCGGACGGGAAACCAAAGAAGGAATTGCCGGACGGTGGTAAGAGAAAAGAGATTAAGAAGGAGGAATCGCCGAAGAAGGAGGAGCCGCCGATAAGAAAGGAGGAGTCGCTGTTGAAGGAGAGACGGGGCAAGAAACAGGTGCCTGAGAGCAGCAATAGCGACAGCAGCAGCAGTGATAGCAGTAGCAGCAGCTCTTCGGACAGCAGCAGCGATTCCGACGTGGCTAAGAGTCCGATGCAGAAGATGTCGAGCGCCGCTAAGGAGCCGGCTTCCTCTTCAACCACTACCACTACCACGTCCTCCGAAAGCGATAACGGTAATCAGGTGAAGAACAAAACTGTGAACAAACGGCAGACAATGAATAAAGTCGCAGACGAAACGGTCGAGTCTGAGAAGAGAACTGTCGCGGGGCGGAAACTCAAGAAGCTGCCCGATAAGAAGCTTAAAACTTCCGACGGGCGGCATGGACCAGAGTTTCAGCCGCCGTTTACTGAGAGAGAAGAATCAGGTAGAACCGCAGTACCTAAGGAGCAGCAACAGGCTCAACAACAACAACAACAACAGCAGCAGCAGCAGCAGCAGCAGCAGCAACAACAACAACAACAACAGCAGCAGCAGCAGCAGCAGTCCGGTAAGAAAGCCGACCAAAGAGACTCATCCAAAAGATCGGCATCCCTGCAATCACAACAGTCAGCTGACCAAAGTGTGCTCGGTGGGTCTCGAAATAATGATGGGTTACGAGGTGTTTCTGGGGCCAAGTCTACCAAGAAATCAAGCCAGTCTATCAAGCAGGCACAGCAACAGCAACAACAGCAGCAGTCAACTCTCAGAGGCAAGGAAGACAGCGGCGGAGCAACGTCCAGAGCGAAGTCGGAGACTCGTAAACGAAAATCGAGTGAGATTACCGCGAAGGAGGACAAAGGTAACAAAGAAACGTCATCGCTCAAGAAAGTGGAGAAGAAATTAACGGAAAAGATGTTGAAGGAAGTCGAGAAAGATAACAAACATGATACTACAAGTATTAAAAATGTCCCGGAATTCGTAGAACCCCCGAAAGCGACTGAGAATACTCCTAAAGTGGACGACAAGAAGATCAAGAAGACAAGTAACAAGAATGCAATTAACACGCTGGAGGAGGAGATGAAGCAGCGACGGGCGGAACGAGACAGTCCGAAGAAATCATCGAGGGGACTGGACAAGCTCCTTGAAAAACGCGAGCACCTTGACAAACTGTCAAGGAGTAGGATTGCCGTTCAACAGGGAAAATGTAACGAGGAGAATAAGGATGTAAAGATCGTGGCATCCATCGCGAAGGAGAATGTCAGGAGCGAGGACATTAAGAACCACATGAGCGAGGAAGTCGCGATGCTAGACATGATGAAATTGGAAAAAGAGAACGTCGGCAAGAAGAACGTCGAGAGTCGAGAGCTGGAGAAATCTACGGACAGAAAGAAGAGGAAGTTCGAGAGCGAGACGCAGGCTGCCGTCGAGATGATCACGATCGAAGAGACCGTTGCCAAGGAATCGAACGATAATATTTGTTTGAGATCGATGCCCGATAAAGTCTCTACCGCGTTAATAGAAAACGTGACGTCTGAGAAAGAGTGTCAGCAGAAGAGAAGAAAGTCCGTAAATCGTTCTATCTTTTCGCCGCAACACGGCAGCAAGGATCCCAGCGTGTCGGAGCTGTTTGACTTCGATCAGGACATGCTGACCGATGACATGGTGAACGATGACGCGAACGATTTCAGCATACCGCGCGACGAAGAGCGCGGAACGGTGCCACTTTCGTTCTCCTTCAACAACGAGTTGTGGTTCAAGGAAGACTCAAAGGAGGATAGTGCGCGAGAGACGCTGCACTTGGTGGAGAAGCTGCGTATGGAATTATCGAAGAAGTCGAATTCTAGTCAGTTCGAGTTAGAATCCGTTCCGGCGGAGGAGGAGCTTCCGAAGAAGGAGGAGCCGCCTCTTCATCCAGTTGAGAAACCAACGGAGGAGCAGCCGCTGCTTCAGGAGAAGGTAGACGTGCCGGAACAGCAACCAGTGGGACAGCAGCAGCAGCAGCAGCAGCAGCAGCAATCAATCGTGCAACCGGTCGAAATTAAGAGTAACAGCGGTTCGGAGCCTGCGCAGATGTCCGAGGATCTCACGTGTAAGAATCATACTATGGAGGATAAGAGAAAGCCTTGTTACTCGAGCAACAGCAACAGCGAGCACTACATGTACGGAAACGAAGAGCGCGAGACGACTAAAGTAACGGTGGTGGAGCGTGCGAAACTCGATAGAGCAGAGGCGGACGAGAGATGGGTACCGCCGAGCATGGACAATTTCAATCCAAGCGACGTGCAACATTTGAACACGCTGATTGACAACCAGAACCACCGTTACGTTGCCGCGGCGGCCGCCGCCGCCGCTCATCAATTCTCAAACGACATCGGCGCCGTGATGCCAGATCCCGCGGCAAATCCTGACGCAGCGCTGGTCGCGCACCTCCAGCTCAACATGCAGGATCAGTATCTGCAGCTGCAGCAGGCGCACCCGATGGAGCGGGTGCAGCAGCATCTCGAAGCGCAGCATGCCGTAGCGCAGGAGCAGTCGCGCGTGCAATCGCTCGCGATGATGGATCAGCAGATAGCGGCAGCCGGTGCAGGGATACCGGCGCAGATCGTCGATGATATCACGCCTATGGAGATGGTGAATCGTCATCTAATTCTACCCAACTCGGAGGACGATCAGGGCAGCGATATGGACCGCGTGTTGGACAAGGAGGACGTCTCGTCGGACATCAGACAGGATTACACGCAGAGCGACTCGCCGTACAACGAGCTTAACGGCCGACCGGACACGCGATGGGCCGAAAGCCAGGTCTTACCCTCGCGACGGTCCACGTCGTCGTCCATCACGTCCGCATCTTCCGCGGAGGAGCACACGTCTATTCCCCCTTACAAGAACGTACCTCCGATATCTTATCCGCCTATGGACGCGACGCCTTACCACTACTCGGAGACTGGCTCTTACGCCGCCGGAGCGGTCTCGCTGTTCCCGCCGCAATCGTGCACTGCCCCGTTGCCCTATCCGTCGCCGTTCCCGCCACCCTTCGGCGCCCCCTTCCCGACGCCGCAGTCTATGCTGCCGCACGTGCCGAAGCCGCTTGAGGAGTCGCTCAACATCGGGGCGTCGCCGTGCACCGCCGCGTTTACCTCGTCGTCGCATAACATGGCCCTCACCGCGGCCATAGTATCGCCGACGAAGGTAACCACGCCGCCGCCGGCGCCGCCACCACCGTCGGTGTCGCAGCCGCAACCGCAGCAGCCACCGACGACGCAGCCACCGTCTTCTGCAGCTCCGCCGTCGGCAGGGCACACGCCATCTTTGCTGTCACAGCCAGCTAACTCGTCCGCCGTGCCGGCGTCCTTCCTCAATACCATCGCGGAGACGCAGGTCAGCAACGACACTGTCGTCGTGGAGAACATAGCAGAGGTACTTAGTGCGGATAACAAGAGCGCGCCGTCTGGTAAGAAGTCGCCGTCGAAACCGACGAGAACGTCCGCAAGGGTGACATCCCTGCAGGGCAAATCGCCCGGTAAATCGCCGCGCCAGGAGACCACGAAATCCGCGCCGAGCTCTCGCGGTCGCAGCAGGAGCTCCAAGGGGTCCCAGCATTCGAGTTATCGAAGTCGCGGTCGCGGCCGGGGACGAGGACGCGGTAGGAACAACCAGAACTCTTCGATCACGATGTTGCCGATGTCGAACGCGCTGCACAACGACGACTCTATCCAGAACAAGCTGGTCGGCACCGTGTACGACTTCGACTCGGACGAGGATTCTGCGAACGAGACCAACATCGCGGATCTGAGGACGATGCGCGAGCGCAAGAAGTCCACTGACGTGAACGAGAAGAATCGCGCGAGCGAGCCCCTCGGTGGCATGGCGAACGATGGTGGTATGCAGTCCCATCTGTCTAGTCCTACGCTGCATACCGCGAAGAAATACTCCGACGACAAGAAGCTCGCGTCACCGGCGGCGCACCACGACCATCAGGCTGCCATAGCCAAGTCCGAGTCGAGCACCAGCCATCAGTTTGCCGACACGGTCATGCCGCTGTTACCAGGTCCGGTGGATATGCGCACATACAACTCGACCGTGGACCAGCCGAGCTCGTCGGTCCACGGTCAGCCGTACGGTAATCATTTGTTAAGCAGCTTCACGAGCGTAGGCGCGGACTCGAACCTGCCGGAACTCGACGATTTGCTGCACGGGGACTGTTCCGTGTTGAAGAAGATCGCTGGCAAACAGCAGCAGCTCGCGGGTAGCGGCTTCGAGGAGCCGTGCTCGAAACCGGGCTTCGGCGACCCGTCGGCGATCGACCCATCATCCGCATCCAGCTACGAACCGAACAAGGTTTCTCTGTCCGATTCCAGAAATCAACTGAAGGTGAAAATCAAAGGCCCGTTTCTTGACGCGAATTATACGCCGTCGGGTCCACCGATCCAAGCGCCGATAATCACACCGACCGCTACAAGCGTGTCCGTTGCCTCAGGCACATCGAATCTACGTCGCATGCGGAAGAAGGAGCTGCTGCGTCAGTATTGCTCGCAGGACATGAACATGGATGATCCTGCGTGCGCTAGCGTCGCCTCTGCACCTATCATCATGCCACCCAGCAATCCGAACCGCACGGTCATCACCATCCCCAAGGCTGTAGCTTCGATGACGAGTATACCGACTCGGGAAGACTACAAGGCGGTCGTAGATGCGAATATGGAGAAGAAGCGGCGGAAGGAGCGCGGTAGTAGCGGTACTGGCGGTAGTGGCTTCCTCGACGTAGTAGCTGGCGAAGAGGAGAGCAGTTCCGATAGAAAGCGTAGTCTTATGATTAGCACGGTCAGCGATCGTAGGAGAGGTAGACAAACCAGGCCGACCGCCACCACGGTGACGAATAGCGCCGGGCCGCCGAAACTGAAGATCAAGATTGGTAATAGTATAATAGGTGGGCAGGAGATGGGTAACGCGCAGGACGATCGTAGCAGGATCAGGCCGCCGAAGAAGCGACTGAGCAGCATCCAGAGTACGCCTAGCATGGAGGAACTCCGTCGCGAGAGCATGAAGTTCCGCAAGATGATCATGGCGGGCTTCGATAACGACGAGAAGACGAAGAACAAGCGCGACAAGAACGGCAAGCGGAAGAAGCGGCAGTCCAGCAAGAAGGAGGCGCGGGTGCAGATTCTGGAGGGCGGCGCCGCGCCGCCCAAGCTCATCATACGGCTGGGCAAATCGGCGGGCGCCAACTCCTCGGCGACGAGCGATGCGCCGAACAACGCGCCGGCCACCGGCGACGTGGACGACAATCAGCAGCAGGCGTCGTCGGACAACAAGGACAGCCGAGTGGGCTGCCCGCCGCCGCCCGAGCCCGCCAAGGAGGAGACCGGCGTCTACACGACGGAGGGCGGCGTCGACGAGAAGCAGCCGACCGACCCGAACGCAGGCGCCACCGCCCTCAGGAACATCCGTTCGGCGAAGGTGACGCCGATCCGGTTAAAACTGACCCGCTGTCAGGAGGGCTACGAACTGAAGGATCCGGTGGTAGCGAGTAGCGCGAGTGTGGACGACGTTGGTGGTAGTGGTAGCAGTACTAGTGCGACGACGACGGTAACGTTGGTGAACTCGGCGGCGCCGTTGCCGATCGGCGGCGCCGAGCAGGAGAGGGCGACGGCGGCGGCAGCGGCGACGGCGGAACGTCTGCCGGCTGCCGGCGTCGCCGGCTCCCTCACCGGGACGAGAGCCGTGCAAGAGGAGCAGCAGCCGCCGTGCATGGAGAAGCAATCTTCCAAAGAGGACGATATTCCATTGCTGCCTCAGTCCGCGAATCACAACTCGCCGGGGTGTCCGCCCGCACCGCTCCCGCAAGGATGCCAAGTTAGGTGATAATTAATGATAATTGTATAATACGGTATATAATATTTAGTGATTCTTTCTTAGACGATTTTCTGCGTGCGCGTGTGTATCACGTACCACGTGCGCGGCATCGCACCTATACCTTGTCGTGCTCGTGTATACGTAAAGATATATTCGCTAAATATACACACAGAACGCTACACATGTTCGCTAACACTTACACACACGTACATACAAGATAGAAGGTGTATATTGTTCAGTACTAAGACGAGAGACTCGGTTAGAAGCGTTATAAGAGTGTAATATAAATTATTGATTATTGTAAATGATCTGAGGGTGAAGTGAAATTTCACAAAGTGCCCAAAATTTACCGCAAATAGTTAAACAAAAAAAAAAAAGAGAAGACACGTGCATTTCGTCGGGTGTATCGACGGTCCACACTAAGGTGTTCCCTCATTGCGCAATTAATTTGTGTAAAACCATTTCTTATCCTCTTTGTGCGTACTCTGTGCACTCACTTTTCCTTCGTAACATGGATCCTTTGGCCAATCAGTCTCAATTTAGAACAAAGCACAATGGTAAATGTGTAATATTGATAATTTTTCTTTAATTTGTACGGGCAACACACGCACATACAAAAAACACACACACACACACACACACAAGCCTAAGTTCTCTTCTGAAGATCTAAAGATCTACAGAATCTCTTGTAAAGAGATTCTGTAAGGAGGGTACGCTTGTCGATCAACCGTAGCTTTGTCACTGTCATTTCCATTCACACTGCATAACCGTCTAATTATTTACTATTACTTAAGCCTGTAAAACAATTCTATAGAAAACAGCTAGGCTGAATTCCTCCTTAAATGTTTGTCGACGCGCTACGCTCAAAGAGATTTCTCTTACGCTCGTCGATGTGACCTCAAAGCAATATGATGATCAGGTGTGGATTTTTAAAGGGACATAAATCGGTGCGACGCGTATTGGCGCGCGCGAAGTCCCGACACGAAGAACGAGGCTCATGTTCGTGCGCAATGATCGACACCTTAGTGAGAGTATCCGCGGCAGCGACGTAAAAAAATTACCTTGTACAAGAACCATATTTCTCAAATCACCGCTTAGGTCGTGATTTTTAAATGCTATAGTTATAACGCGAATTTTAATAAACCACAATACTATATATATAATATATATATATATACACAATATTTCGAACGATGTACAGTCGGATATCGACTTTAATGTGGCAAGGACAGCGTATATCAACCGGACGTGAAGCACTAAATGAAGAAAAGGGATACGCATTCTTTTCTTTTATTTTCAGAACAAATCTTTTCTTTTCGGATTTTTTTTTTCGACACACATGCATATCCGTTCGCGTGTTTGGAAAGGGAAAGAAGGAAAAGAGGAAAAAAAAAAGAACGTGCTCTTTCGCGATTTGACAATTGGAATTTGCATGCACTCTCGCGTTTGACGACATTAAACTCTGCAAGATGCTATAACGGCATCGCGTTTTGCCTTCGAAAATCGTTCTTCTCCCTTTGTTTTCTTTCTTTCTTTCTTTCGTTTTGTTTTTGCTTCATGCTATGCAATTCGCACACACAAGATCGCAAAGTTAGACGCGAAATTTGAAGATATTTTTTTATTATATTTTTTTACACGTTATATATATATTATATATATATATATATATATAGACATATATATTACGTACGCGCCTCGCGCGATTTGTTACATAGTTTTTTTATAAGATCCAACGCGTCATTATCAATCGTCACGATTGCCTATTTTATCCCTTTTCACGTTGTAGCTCTGCTGCGTGTATTTATTTATGACGATCAGTGTAAGGCGCTATTTATTCACCATGTATTTTTCTTTGGAAGCTCCTAAGAATGATTTTTAGACGATTTTTCAGTTCTCTCTTCTTTTCTCCCCTCTCTGTTTTCTTTTTTCTTATTCTTCTCTTTTTCTCTATTTGTTTTTTTCTCCTTTTCTTTCTTTCTCTTTTTTTCCTTTATCTCTCTTCTTTCTTTTTCTGTTTAGTATCACCCCAATTACTGCATGTATCACTATTATTACTATAATCATATGTTTCTTCTCTTTTTTGTATTAAGAAATATCGTTTTAATCTCGCCACGTAGATAACAAGAGTTATGCGTATAAAATACTCATGGTTGATGAAGCGGCGTGCCATGTTTTGTATCGATATTTAAAAAAAAAGAAAAAAAGGATTGCGACCGAAAATTGCCGATGTGAAAAGAGAAAGAGAAAATTCTCGGACATACGTGTCACACGTGCGCGACGTGATTCGACGAATCACATGAGACATACAGACGTAAGATGAAGATATTCCGTTAGATTTGTTTTTCATACAAGGCAGAGAAGTGGACGCATCTCGTCGTCATCATCACCATCATCTTCACTCTTCGGGAAGGAAGATTTCCTGCACGGGTTACCCGTGGCTAATCCTTTTTTTTACTCTTGTCGCTGCATTTCAATACCGGCAACATTGAATAACTCTATTAATTCTAAAAGTACTATGTTAAACTACAAATATGTGTCTAAACAATAGAGTATAAAATACGTTTAAGGATAAAAGATTTTCTGGTGGCATGAAAAATCATCGTTTTTACGCACGTTGTACGAATTTTTTTTTTTTTTTTTCAAATAATTTATTACTCAACTGTAAAATGAAAAGTCGTAGTAACATATCGAGTTTACGGTTTTTTACGAAAATGCATCCTGATGAAAAGAGTGTACATGCAAAGGACGTCGTAGAGATGTGTCTTTTTAAAAAAAAAAAAGAAAAAACTAAAATCTTTCAGACATCTTCAAGATGCTCGTGTCTCTTTGTTATCGTATTTATTTATTTTTCGTGTCTTTTTGTTATCGTATCTCGACTTATTGGTATGTAAAAGTATCGAGGAAAGGAACTGGCAACTGGCAAGCAATTAGGATGTGAGACGTGACGAGAAGGCGACGACTGAAGGTCGATTGCGTGCAATCGGGGGTGGTGCGTTTGTAAGACGCGCAATAAGCGAAACTGAGATTGTTTTAACATTTTACATCTGTTCATACGTGCGCGCCGAAATGGGAGATCTTACCGATTGCTGATCCTTCGCTAAACGTGCAATTGTTACGACGTCCGTAGGAAGATTCTTCGTCCCAATCCCAAGCATATTACCAATTGTGGAGTGAAAAGAATCGTGATTGCGAAAAGTGTAGTAAAATTTTTCACAATAAAAACGCGAGAAAAATGTTTTCACACACATTTCGGTGAAGATGGAACGAAAGTGAGCGAGGTTGCGAATATTCAGGGGAGAGAGTAAAAATTCGGTGTAAAAGTGACGGAAGTGATAGATAAAAATTTTTCGGGGAGAGCTTAGCATTATCCCGTTTGAAGAATTCTCCACTCGTACTTTTCACTCCGCAATTGTGAACGCGATGCGCAGGATAAGAAGAAATTGTACATACTCGTATATCAGATAAGACACAGAAATCTGTAATTGGTATGAAGCTTATATAACGGCTGTGTTACCGTACGGATCTTATCTTCCAGAGGTTTTTAGTTTTGCTCTCTTTCTCGGATGCGAGCGTATTAAAAAAAAAAAAACCGCAAAAAAAAAAAGATAAGTGCATGATCGCGCCGAAAGATTCTCGACACCTCTTCCAACAAAAAGATTGTTAATTGTTTGTTAAAGGGAAAAGCATGGTAGCGCGGCTTATTATTCGATCGACGAACTTTCGGAGACGAAAATAAAGAAAAGGATAACAAAAAACGTTGACACTTTGCAAAAGATAAAATTTATTTCGCGACATCTCTCTCAAAATCTTCATCTCGACTGCCGGCAATTCCCTCTCGGTCTTTATCTCGCACTCGAGCAAAAAAACACGCGGACGAATCAAAAGAAAGTCGATTTTGACGAGCCGGCAAATCCTTGTAATCGGAACATTAAAAGTATCTTCCATGTACATTGCATACTTACGCGGACGCGTTAGGCTGAAAGGGTAAAATGGTTTTTTGCCGCGATCTTGCGATCACATGAAAAAGATAAAAAAAGCGAGAAAGAAAAAATGAATGAATAAGTAAGTTATATGCATGTGAGAGTGAAGAGAGAAAGAGAGAGAGGAAGGGAGGAAGGGAGAGAATGAGAGGGAGAGAGAGAGAGAGAGAGAGAGAGAGAGAGAGAGAGAAAGAGAGAGAAAGAGAGAGAGAATGGCGATACCGTTTCGTCCCAATTCTTTATTGTCATAACTCTTTATTTTCTTGTTATACAGCGCAAAAAAAAATCAAATCAAATGAAGTATTGTTTAGCGCGTCGGCGATCTTTGCGCGCTCGCCGCCGCCCTGAAATTCTCGTCGATCGCGGAAACGGAATCCCTCTCTGCGGATCCTTCGGCGCGTGTTGTGCACGATCATCGATCGATCGCGGACCGAATCATCGATCAACGAGCCGACACGCGCAACCGAAGCGATTTAAAATGTTTCGCGAGCGAGAGAGGATTTTTCCAGACATACCTTCATACCATACATATACCGCATTGTACATTTTTTCAGTGATAAGCAGAGTTTTAAGAGCCTATATTGTACAGAATTATAAAGAATAAATATTTGGTTAATTTTTAATCGTTTCTTACATGCATATATATATATTGGAGTAACAATTATTCTAATAAACAAATAACGATGAATTTAATTATATATATATATATATATATAAATATATATATATATATAATATTAAATATATATGAATTTAATATTATATAAATAAAAATACGAGTATATATATATACATATAAATATATAAATATATAAATATGAACATATATATATATATATACAAAAATATAAATAGATAATTTTATTATATAATACAAATGAGTAATATGATTATTTAGTTATTGTATATAGTGTAAGAAAGCTGATCTTGTAAGATACAGATAAGGTGTTTTAATGTGCACATAGTCGCGTCATTGTCAATAATCATATTATTACGATTAATAATAATTACAGTTTTTTACATCCCGCGTTTTCTTATTCGACCTATACCCACAATGCTATTCTTACCCATAGTTAATTACTGTATTTATGAAAAAATTCTATTATGAGTTTATTAGAAAATTTCTAAAAAGCATTTGATCTTTTATTTTATGTCTGATAATCAACTTTTATGCAAAATACGCTGAATACATCTACCTTCGCAAACAATTTTTTGTGTGAACGACGTTCTATTTTTGCCTAATTGTCTAATTTAATCTTTACAGAAAGTAAAATTATGGCGTATTATGTATCAACATTATATTTTTGGAGCAGAATTCTTCACAGGACTGAGGACATGATTGGTAAGGATAATCAAGGTAAGAAACAAAAAAAAAATACATTTTTCACATATTTTGTTTTTTTTTTCGCATATTTTTATTCTTGTACATAGAGATTTCAATGAAAACTTACAAAGCTAATGAAAACGTCGCGAACGAGCTTCGCGTATCTTAGAGAAAATTCATACGAATTGCCAAAGGGCTATGTTGATAGCGATAAAGTATCCCGCGGGTAGAACACGAGGCTCACACGTCAACCCCAGTATCCCCAGCCCCAGCCACCACCGTATCCTCGTCCACCCCAGCCTCCTCGGCCCCATCCTCCCAAACCGTATCCTCCCCAGCCTCGGCCCCATCCTCCCCAACCTCCATATCCTCGGCCTCCGTAGCCTCCCCAGCCACCGTATTTATAATATGGTCGTCCATAGTATCTGAAATTGTTTATAAATCATTCGATTAATATGAGCAGTTTCAATGTTAAAGAATTTTCTCGTTTATGTGTAATTTATGGCGTGACAGGTTTTACGAAATATTATAATATGTAGAATGTTCAAAAATCGGGCCGCATTTTTTATGACAGATGAATTGCAAAATCGATTTTTATTTAGTTACAATTTTTTTCAGAGAAAAGTTTAATATCAAATATCAGAATTTAATGCTAAAAAGATTGTTTTTCATTAACTTGAGAAGAAATGTATTGATCTTTTATCTTAAGTAACCTTTCGTTTGCCATGAATTAGAAGTATTATATCTATTATTTATGAATGAAAGAAAAGGTTAAATGTATGAAAGATATTATTTGTGCTGCGTATTGGTACAATTAGTATCAAGTTATAATTATAATTTACAACTACGACTACACACGTAACCTTTGCAAAATAATCCTGTGAACGTCATTCTGTAAATCTGCATTCTACTTGATTTTCTGTCTTTATCGTCATTAAATTATCATTCAAAGTACTGGAAACGTGACGAGGAATATTGAAGATTTTATAAATGCAAACAGACTGAAACCAAAGCATGCACTTTTATATAATTCAATGTATATAAAATTAAAGATATCTTTCTGTTTCAAGTATGGATAGCGCAACATTTTTTAGTGCCTGGTAGTTACTTAAAAATTAGACTTAATTATATATACATAAAAAATTATTTACTTCCGTAACTCAAAAGTTATTAATTACGTTATTTAAAAATTATTTACTATTTACAACATTTAAAAATTATACCGTATAAATTAGATTTTTCATCTAAATTGTTTAAAATTCTATTTCGATATATAGTAGAGGAACTATTGTACTGTATATTTTTCTATGACATTAAATTTCGCGAGACATCCCAAGAAATGAATTAACGAGATGCTTACGGTCCGTTAAATTATTGCAAATTGATCGTCGCAGTTCGCTTTAACGTTAATTGCGCATCGAAATGCGTTGTTTATGCGCGCGACTAGTTAGCATGCGGGATTATACGAGGGACGTATAGCACGTGATTGATGCGGCCGGGAGAGGGGCAGCAGGAGCAGGATGCGGTTACGAATGCGAATGAAGAAACACTGCACCACAAAGATGCAATAATTTTTTCAGATGTCTCCTGTTTACGCGACTGTCATCCTTACGAACGGAGTCGTAAGTAAGCGCCGGTAAGCGTGCAAAGGCGCATACAAAGTACGCGCGCGAAGAAGTGTATAATCGCGGTTGAGTAATCCTCTCCCCGATTACGATGGGATACACGCCGTTCGATGCCTCGTCGTCACCGGTCCCGACGACGACGCGTGCGTCCCAACTCTGAAGATATATTAAAAGTATACGGAAAGCCCCCCTCTGGTCGCGTCGAAAGATTACCGCGCGATCGTCCCGGCTGCGCCCTCCCGACGCGCGCGTTTTCCGCGTGACAGCACTGCCTTTATTGCGCGACAGCTCAATATCACCTGTAATAATTTTAACGAAGGTACTCATCATGCCGGATCTAAAATTGCAGGCTTTTCGTGAAGAGTGACATGTAGCGATTGCAACGGAATAGCGGAATACTTAAGAAATACGAATTTCGGTTTTCCTCTTTTTTTTTTTCTTCACCTCGCAATGATACACGACGAACTTTGGTGTTGGCGTTTTAGGAATTTATTCGGGAAGATGTACGTACGTCGAAAATATACCTAGTTATATTATAATTTATTCCGCGGTTCCGAATTGTCTATAAAGATGATGATTTTGAATTCACGGATTTCCTGCGATCCGAGATCGACTCGGGGGTATAGAAATTTATGATAAACTAACTCACCCCCAGTACGTAGCATCCGCTTCTAGATCGTTCGCATTTGGTTGCGGTTCGACCTCACTCGGCACATTTGCTGGAGCTTCGTTCTCCACAGCGGCGGCGAGGACGGCAAACGCCGCGATGAGGAATACCTAGAATCAATTCCTCATTATCCTTTCTTCTTTAATCTACGATTCGCCCGATAAACTTGCTCTTTTTGGCGAGATTCCGCGATCAGATCGTGACTCGTATCGATATACAACTTGGGAGATATTGCATCACGGGAAGCAGTCTGCACTGCACTATTTTACGCAATGTTATCGCGAGTATTCTCTCGAGAATAAGCACTTGAGAAATCTTCGATTGAACGGAGGATTCCCTTACAGAAATTCAATACTAGGAAGGTAGTTATTAATTATTTATTTTGAACAGTTTTAATATTCAAAGCAAACAATTTCCAGAATTAAATTAGATTTCTGTAGGGATTGTCGGCCACTTTCGCTGAATGCAATATGCAAGGGTGTTCAAATAAACTGTAAAATTAAAATATAAAAGCGTTTTTCTAAAAAATGATTTCTAATTCAATAAATATAACAACGTGATTTTTCTTGATATACATATTTTGATGATAACGCCAATTCGGTATTATTAATTTAAATGTTCTGTACCACTTGTACAGCTTATATTCGATATTTATAATCCCGACTACCCAAAGACAGAGTTCGCCTCGCGATATGTGACCAGACGCGAATTGCGCTAATTTAGTTAATCGGGCTCGCGACTGACGTGTCGGGCCGACGAGAAAGAGCGTAACACACGCGACGCGGACGTGACGCGGAAAGAGAAAAAAAAATGGAAAGAAGAAAAGAGAAGTGTCTCTTCGAGACGATATAGGATCGACGTCGAAGGCGTGAGAAAATCCATGGATCACTTACGAAATGCAATGGACGCAACATATCGGAGACTGATTTCATTTCGAGTGCAGCGGGCCTTATATACCGGCGGGACCGAGCCGGTGCGGCGTTTTCGTGACGCGGGATACGCACGCACCAACACGTGCACAGAGACGTCCGCACGCCTGTCGTCGGCTACCTGCGGTTTCGCGAGGCGCGAGCGAGGCGTACGAGCGAGGGAGAGAACGCGACGCGCCGTGTACTCCGAAGGTGTGTACCAGTTGCGGCACAAAGAGCCGCAAATGGGAATGCCAATGCCGAGTGTTTCCGTGGGGATCCCAGGATTCCGCGATGCCCCGCACCGCGGAGACGCCGAGGACGTGAACCTCGTAAAATCCGAGACGAGCGTAATACGCCGACCTCCGCAATTTCATCGCGCCGATTAATTTTCGCGGAATCAGCTTCAAATCAGCCTGTCTCGTCATCTCGGACGTTTTTATTTCTTCCCGACGCGAAGAGTACTATTGAGATGTACAGAGAAGTTTCTTTATTTTGTATAAAATAAAGAAGAAACTTAGATATTTAATACTGGAAGCTAGTGATTAATTACTTTTTTTTGAGCATTAAAAGCATCGCTTCAAAATAATTTCTTGTTCACTTGTAATACTCAAAATAAATAATTTCCAGTATTAAATTAGATTTCTGTGGAGGAAGGACAATCCATATATCTTTGTTTCATAAAAACAATTGACAATTTAATTATAGATGTCAGAGCTGAATTAATAGAATTCTGTCAGCTTCTTAGCACAAAGATGAAAAAGAGACTTGTTTGAAAATGGGGATTAAATGAAAAATATATCTTTAGTATCGAGATACACGATCGCGATGTCGAAATGGCTGATAAAATCTTTTTTTTTTTATGAACGTTCAATATTTAATAGGGTATTTGTTTTTTTTTTTGGCGGCATCAGAAATGAATGCGTCCCGTCGTAACATAGAGTTGCTCTATTTTGATAATCATTGAAGCTTGATTACTAAACGTTTTATTGTTTTCGGATATTCGTGAAAATTCAACGAGAAAATTCAATGTGAAAAAGCACACGCTCAAACGAATACCGCACATCTTACTTTTGGAAGACATTTTAATTATCGCGATTTTCGATTCCGCAATTACATCACTCGCAGTAGAAAAAGAATTAATCATGCGTGCCGAGAAACAGGCCATTTGCACACATTTAACATGCTTCTAATTATATATCTAATGATACTTCTCGGTATCACTTCATTGGCAGAGAGGAGATTCTGAGAAGGCGCGGTTTAGTTGCCGGACTAGGATAGCACTTTGCCGGGCCTTTTTGGACAGCTGTTTACGTTAAAGGGATGATAATGACCGGCGGTCCGAAGAGCATAATTCTCGGAATCTTATACATCGTTTTTATACAAAAAATGTTTGGAGAGTAAAAGAAAATGGTTGACCGCAGTTTGGATTAGAAATGTTGAGTCATTGAGTCGCGTGATTAATCATCGTCATTATCGTCTAACGACGATAATGGATTAGATATTTTGACACGTCTCGATTGTTATATATATATATATATATATATATATATATATATAACATCTATATATATGTATGTATGTGTGTTATTTGTATATATGTATATATTTATGATTTAATTACGGAACAGTTTTTACAATTTATTTTTATTAACATTAGGAATAATTAAAATGTTAAAATTTAATTAATATACTGAGAAAAAGACTGAAAAGGATGATACTTTAAATATGTAAATCATAGATATGCACATGTATGTACATTTATGTACATCTTAATGAAAGTTAAATTTCAAGATTTTCGATACAATAGTGTTAATTTGACAATACCCTTGACCCAAAAGTTGCGCGATGTATCGCGATTTTACGCTTTATTCAAATAAATTTCTTAAATAGATTTCTGTTATTGTCTTTATCGTTGTTTTTCTGTATCGTTTAAAAAGGATTTATGAAAAATTGGCCGTTAAATAAAAAACAGCATCGTCGCAAGGTTAATATTATGCATTTTTTTTTACAAAACTATAAACGATTCTTGTTAAATTTACATTTTTATCATAAGCGGTGATGTAACCGATCCGGTATTTCCTTACGAAATTGAAAATTTGGTCGAGGCAGAATGAACTACCGTGGACATACCGGACAGTCACGTTGTAAATAGAGTATGCGGAATTGTTAAAAGAACGTGCAATTATATAACCGAACTAAAACTCTAAATATACATGTCGCGTAAAGAGAATTGCACGTAAACGTGGACGGCAAACATTTCGGGGACATTCCGATTTGACGCACGTATCGTATCGACTTTTCAAATTATCTCACTGTGTGTTTTGCACTTGAGAAGAATTAAGACTCTGTGACGACAGATTAAATAAAAAACTGTTCATTTAAGAATTCAGATATTCAGATATTCAGAGTATCAATCGTACGACACAGATAAGTCAATAATAATACAATAGATTCGGTACATAGTAAGTTTTTTTATTTACAGAATAGTAAAAAATTCGCTTCAACAAATAATAATTTTTACCTCGAATGATCACAAAACATAGACGAAAGAGAGACGTTTCTAATTTTTTATCTCAATAGTAGAATTGAAATGCATGTAAAACAAAATTTGCAGATAATTAAAATAAATGTTCTGTTCATTATTATAATAAGACAATGTAGAAATGAGCTAAAGATGAGCAAAAAAATTAAATTAATAAAAGTAACTTTAATTTTAATATTGACAAATGAAAGGTACTTTTATTTAACATTCATTTTTTTCGCTCATCTTTAGCCCATTTATTAGAATTAGCACTAGAATTTAGAGATACGAAACTTTCTGCTCTGTATTATTGATGTGTTTTGAAGGATTCTGAAATCTTTTAAGGATTCTATCTCAACTCAAAGAATTTTTATCAATACTTTTTACTTTGTTTATCTTGTATGTTAATAATAAGATTAACTCGAGAGGGCAGGGGTTTAATTGAACCTTGATCAACCGGTCTCATAAGGAAAAAGTTCTACGCATATTTTGCAACTACGGAGATATTATTATCGATTCCCCCTGGATGCTGCACCATTAAAAGATGCTGCCGTCGCCCGCATTTCCGCTCGTCACCTTAATTAACGAACGCGTGCTGCACCTTTCCATCACTGAGGATATGTAAATTAGGTATCCTGAGACAGGAGTGCATTGCTGACCAACTACTCATTAAGCCATCGGTCCATTAAATCGAGCTGATTCCCCGTACATATATATATCAACCATTTATTGTCTCTGCAATTAGCATCCGATTCATAACTGTACCATTTACTGCAAAAATTTGTATTTCTCGTAACTTCAAAATCGGCAAAAATGAAATTTCAAAATCAAATTATCAAAGCTTCGAAAGTAAAATAGATACATATTAGATCGTTTGTTCTTTTACATATTTTGCAAGAAAGTGCTCCAGTTCCGGTCTGGAACTCAATCAATAAATTATAGAAATTCTAGATTTACATATATAATAGATCTCGACATTTCTAAGAATTTCTTCAATTGTACAAAAATCAATACCTGTTTATTTTGCGTAACTCATTATTCTTTCTGCATTTATTTTCATGCAGTCATTCCTACCACGATTACCAGCTGGGATCCGGGGAGGTACCTGATCGCATTCCGTCTACTTGCGAGGATCACCAACCTCGACGGGATATCCCCGTGAGTGGTATCAAACGGGCGTCCGCTCGTCGGCTGTAAAGAGAATTTTTGAGAACGACCGGCCTGCCTTGAGCGGGCTCGTCGTCGCCACCGCCACCATCGTCGTCGTCGTCATTGTCGTGGTGCATGTCCCTTCGCGATCGGTCTCAACCGATTTGCGAAATGGTGGAGGGATACGGTGAACGCATATACGCGGTGATCGTAGCGCAAAAAGACATACGTCTTCTCCGGCTGGCACGCGGGGAAGAATCGTTGACCGCGGCTTCTCCAGCCAAGGTCAGGCATCACCTCTTTTTCTTCTCCCTTCCCCCGCTCCCTCCGTCCCTACTCCGAGGGGACTCGGAGCGGAGCTACAGTGACCATGGTCCGAGTCGCATCACCCAGCCTCGTCTTTGTTATCGCACGGATGCGAACGCGCGTTCCGCAGACGCGGCAGAAATAAATAAGACTGGGAACGAGGATATTTTCTCTTTAAGTGTGCTCGCAGTAGATCCAGCATAGACGTGTTCGAGCGAGGACGTGCTTGGTGTACATACGTCCAACATTAGTTACATCTAGCATAGGAGTTATGCGCAAATAGATTTGTCATAGATACACCTTGGAAGAATCGTTTCATTTTCATCGGGAACACGTTTTCTTCAAAACTATTTATTGCTCACTTACAGTAGCATTACATGAGGTAACTAACGGTTGCGTAAAGGTACTATGTGCGATCTACCAACTACAGTTGACGCGCATTCATACATCCTGCTATACAATTTATATTACCCTTTCATCGTCGTTCTACTCGTCCTTTGTTAAAAAAATCTTTTGCAAACCTTCCTTCGACACAGCCTTTCAAATTATATCAAGTATTAAAATATAGATATTAATATTAAGCTAATTGATAATAAATGAGAAACATTGAAAAATATCTCAATACGTTTTCAAACTCCACATTTCTACTAATACTAATTAGTAATTACTAACTAATTTTGAAAATCTTTTTTCCATACGCATTTTATAAATATATTTTGTTTAGTACACAGTCTTATTAAAATTAGATTAAAAACGCATATTTTTTAACATCACTCTAATTACTATATAAGTCTAAAATTATATATCTTAATCACATTGAGAAGTCGTCTACTATGTAAAACTGTTTCTATGTCAACAGAAATTATTATATAAAATATTTCAACAGAAATTATGTAAAATACTTCAACAATGTAAGAAAGTGGTATCACGTATGCGTTAATATGAAGTCCACTCTTCTTGCATAAGAATGCACTCTAATATACTTTGACAGAATCAGATTAGCGTACATACTTATATATATTTTTATTACTCTAAGCAACTGTCAAGATGCTCTGTCAAATCTCGCAATCTCGCAAATGGTATCGAGCATTTTGGACATATTTTCATATTGTCGATTGTAGGCTGCAATCAAGTTGATAAAAAAAAATGTTAGCAGTCTAGATTTACATGTAACACACAATTGTTTTCACTGTTCATCGATTATTTAAAAATTTAAATTAATTAAAAATTATTAATTAATTAAAAATAACATAGTGTTATGTCTAGTATCTTATTGTGCGATATCAAAGAAAATTATAGGGCTGTGACAAATGTCGAGCGATTTTCGTTCTGTAGTACGGTATCGAATGTATGTCATTTCGTCTACTTTAAAAACAACAAAATAAATAATCGTAAATTATAATAAAATACTCGTATAATAGTTAAATAAACAATTGAAATAATACTGATATAATGAGAAAATAAAGATACAAATTATATATTAAAATTCTTGTCCTCACTTATCATATTAAAATGCGATATTAAAATAAAATGTAATATTTAATTTCTTCTTACAATTCTGCAATTCAAAACATACTAGAATGCCAATGCGAAATACTAATTGAAAAAAAGTCATTACCGTTGAATTTAATCTTGGATTATTACCAATATCTGTGTAGTATGGTAAACAACTATATTCTCCGAAATAGTTAGGAAATTATTCTTGTAAAGAATTGTGTTGTAAATATATTATATAAATAAAATATTTTCATTAAAAAAATTAAAATATTATATTTATATAACTAAATTTACAAAACCTAGCTGATTATTTACTAAATATTAAAATTATACTTTTATATTTATTATAAGAGAAATTTGAGATAAAATTTATAAAGATTTAAAATTTGATATACTTACTAAATTTTATATATATATATATAAAATCTACTAACTGATTCAACTAATTCAAGCAATATTGTAAAGAATACATATAGTTTGTAATAATCAAATAAAAAGCGCATTGTACCCTTGAAAGGATAGAGAAAGAATAAAAAGAAAACAAAAGAGAATAATCCAGGATTAAAGCAACCAACTTGGCAATGTTACGAGCAACTATATGATACACCTGAAGCGTACAGTTACAGAATTATAGAAAAGCAATAGATAGAAATAGAACTTATTTATATAACTGCGTGTATACTAATTTCGAAAGAAATTTGAATATTTGTGAACAAATATGTAATTATTCATTATTTCATTGAAAATAAGCGAGAGATAAAATTTCGAGAATTCGGCCGCTTTTCTCGCACAGTGGCGTTGCCACCTCTTGCATGCCCTTTGCATTTGTCACCGCTCTAGTGGCAATAAAAAAGCAGGATACGGTCATTTTCATTTTTAAATAAAAATCATGGCATAATAAATTTAAAGCTACTTACTTGATCTTCAGGTAAGAATCCTGGAACTGATCCAACATCAGTGCTTGAGAAAACGTTAGTAGAACCTTGTAACTGCTTGTTTATATGCTTAAACAATTCTGCAGTCAATTTAGTCTTTTCTTCCAACAACGTTTCTTTCAGTCTTTTTTCCTGCTGAAAGTCTTCTTCGTAAAGTGACAACTGTGATCTTAAGAGTTCTATCTCTTCCGCCTATAAAAAGTATCATAGAAATAATGGAGAAAATTTAAGGCATAATCTATAAATTTTGCGCAAATATTTTTGAATTTAGACGTTATGTAAAGCCATATATATAATTTATATAACGAAAGAATTCACTCACGCTTTGTGCCAACTGCTCCATTATCCTTTGATATTCTGCAGTTTTCTCCTCAATCTGCTGTCGCAAGCCATTTGTCTCAGTCAGCAACTGTTCGTTCTGAGCTCGCAATGCATTTTTCTCGTTGTGCAAATCTCTTTCGCAATTTTCATACAATTCACTCTGATGATCAAGTGACATTTTTTCTTCATTTAAACCAATTCTTTCTTGTTCCAAAAGCTTTATCTTATCACACAGTAATTCAAGTTCCATGTCCAAGTTCTTTTTCTGGTTCTGGAGGGACTTTTTGTCGTTCTCCAAGTTATCCCTCTCTTGATCGAAAATTTTTATCTCGTCATCTAACAATTGCCTGTCGCGTTTAATCTGTTCCAGTTGCTCTTCTAAGTTTTCACGCGCGCTATTGTCCTTCAAAACGTTTAATTTCGCATTTTCATCGATCGTTATTTCCAATTCATAAAGAACAGAATTGTAATCAGAGAATATCTTTTGAAGTTGATTCTGCGATTTAACTAGAGTCTGCCTATCAGTGATGAGTTTTATCTGCTCGTTCGCCAGCTGTTTGCAATACTGGCATAATTTTTCTTTACACTGCATTTTAGAGTTATCGTCGTCGAGTCTAAGTATATGCGTAATTTCCTTCAGACCTTTCTCAATGGTGGCAAAACGTTCTATTTGTTCTACAAAACATTCTGTTAATTCTTGCAACATGTCGTTATATTGCTTCATATTTTGTACGAATTTCTGACGATTTAAATTGGATGACGTTTCCGTTAAATCATGCAGTTTAACAGGAGCAAGAACCTGTAAAATTTAAAAGTTACTTCAATTTTATTTCTCACAACTTAGTTAATTAAAATATTTGGCAAACAGCTTTTTTAAAAAAAACGTACACATTGCAGCTTCTGTTCGAGTAGAGCGATGGATTCTTTTAAGCTGGCAATTTCCTGATCCTTTACAGAACACATCTCCGAACATTTCAAACTTTCTACAGTTTCTGCGCAACTGTCGCTGTGAAGCTTGCAATTTAACGCTACTGTTGCCGATTCTAATTCCTTACTCGCTTTTAATTTTTGTAATTTACGTTGTAATTCTTCATCAGCAAGTTTCTCCGATATTATAGATATTATATAGTCCTTACATTTTTCAATAGCCATTTTTGATATTGAGCCTGCAAGTTCGGGCGTGTTTTGCTCAAGTTCTGTTTGATTGATGGAAGCACTAATGGTATCAGACTTATTAATCATCTGAAAAAAGTAGAATGGATATAAAAATTATGTACGTATTATAGATGTAAAATTATATAACTGTATATGTATTTCTATATATATATATATATATATACATACCTCATATTCTATATCTTCAGTGCGTTGCAAGAGCAAGAGTTTATTTTTCAGCTCTGCATTTTCCTTTTTGAGATGATTTATGAGTTCTTTAGTTTCTGAAAATTTTTGCTTATGACTTTGGTGAACCTTCGTTACTTCCTCCTGCCACATTGCCAGGGTGCTAAACTGCTGCTTCATAGAGTCATTATTCTGCCTCAGAGTTTCCTTCAATTTCACATTTTCTTGCAACATCTCCATCAATCTATTTTGCATCTCGGTTATGCTCAGCGATGACACTATTGACTTATAATCCTATAAGAACAAAATATAAATTTTATTTCCTACTTTAAGGTAAATAATTAATCGTGAGATCAAATGTAGAACTGCGATGTACGTACAATAGACATACTCTTCTGCTGGATATCAACGTATGAAGCTAATAGGGTAGCCTGAGCCTCCACTGAATCTTTACCGAGTACTACAAAAGAGAGGCTTTCTCCCTCATTGGCACTGACGTTGGTCAATGGACTTATATTTAGGGCCGTAGTAACAGGCTCGTCTAACTTAAATGATACAAAATTCTTCTTCTCCTCAGCGATTCCCTCTGCTTTAGGATTTTCAGGCTGAACTGGATCCATGTCGCTTGATGATCAATCCTGTACAGTAATTTTCAATAACAAGACGTCCTTTTCAACAAACGCTGCACAAAAGTTTTATTTTCCTACAACGCCAATAATATATGTTATTGATAACAAAACATAAACACAGGAAAAAATACAATAGTAATACAAGGTAAACCTATATTTTCCTATCAATGCAATAGATCCGAATACCTCGATATTTGCTGTTAAAATTTACATCGCTTTGGCAATCGTGAGATATTTAATTTTACGCTTCAACACATTCATATATAAATAACATCATACCAAGAAGTCAGAATACATCTGTAAATCACTCCAAACTTGCATCAGATTTTAACGATATTGAGGTTAGAATCTAAAGCTTTTACAAGGAATCGTTATAATCGCGTCTCACGTCTCGACATTAAAAATGAACGGTCGATCTTTTCCAAGTAGATTGCATTTGTTCATTTGTTACGTCAGAGGCGTATTTTTGGATTGTTGTGAACAATCCAACTGAGCTCATACGTTAAATAAATGAAGATTTAGACGATACGTCAGCGACGTGAAATCTCGCGAGATTATATATATATATATATTGTCAATCGGATAATTGTGCGCATAACTTAGATAAAAAAAATTTAGATTAAAAAATGAAAAAGGAAATCGTTAACGCACGTACGCATTTAACAATGTGAAATATATAAATACTGAATGACTCGAACTAATTACGAGCGTAGAGAAATGCCTTAATGATACGAGAAATTAAATTTAGACTCACTGTTATATGATTGAGATATTTGTAGTCGCATGTGCATTTGCGTCCAACACGGAAGAGGAAGAGAATATATCTGCGTTCTTGACTTGTCCGGTCTCTCGAATCAGCTCCGTTTTATTTATCTAACAAAGCGCACTTCATATTTGAAGTGTAGAAAGTGCACAAATTGCAGACAATACCAGAGAGGACATGACGGCCTTTTGGCTGCTGCAACGCAAACTAAAATGTCCTCGTGCACTAACGCCCTCTGAAGAAGTGAATCCAAATTACATAGCAAGATCCAGTTTTCTGCACACTTTGTGGTGCGTGTCCGTACTAAATCCATTTTTCGAGTCTGCTGGAACTTACTTTATACACGAAAAATTACGCATATATACATTTCATTGAGTACAATTTCCGAAACGCTGCGAAACAGGCGAGAAAGGATCTAACATCATTTTCCGTTTCATTTACTTGCAAATAAGTTACATTACAATTAAACATTGAGCGCATGTTGTAAAAAGAGGCCAGTGCCATTATCCGTCAGTCTGTAAAACGAAGTACGAACGTTTTATGTGGCCGCGCAGCGCGCCGAGTGCCGACGCGACCACGTCGGAGTCCCACAAGCAAAAAGCTCCGCGCCACGTAGCGCCCCGTTTATATACCGATTCGTGTAGCCAGCGCCGAGCCAATCAGAATGCTTCTGGCAGGGTACTATATAAACTGCGCGTACGCGGCGCTCGCGCGATAGTCCGGCCGCCGGCTCCGCGGAGTCCGTATCAAGTCTACGGGAGCGTCACGTCGTGTCACGTAGGGACGATGTACAGCCTCAGACAGCTCATGCGCTGTAAAAAATAGATGAACATGAATGCATTGGAGGAAATTTATATACGGGTACATGAAATCTATAAATTTATTTTGATTTTTCTATCATTTTATTAGATTACAATTAATTCGCTCGCACGGTCGGCCACAACTGTTCGCCGCGTCGCGCGTCGGCACGGCGCTTGTTTCGTATAAGCTGATCATCGCGTGCGGGACAAATTGCTCCGCTTCATTATCTTAATTACGCATTTATCCATAAGTATAGCGTACGTTAACATACAGCGAATATATGGATAAACGCATAACTAAGGTAGTGAAACGGCGTAATTCGTCCCGCGTGCCGTCAGCTCACGCGAAACGAGCGTCGCGTCGCGGCGCGGGCGACGCGTCGGCGGCGGTATACGTCTCGATTTTCGGTCGAACGAGTATTGCGATTATACGCATCCGATCGAATCAGAGTTCAAATGCCGAATCTATATTACGCGCTAATTAGATGCAAGATTGATCGGATGCGTATTTCGCAATACTCGTTCGACCGAAAATCGAAATATGTAGCGTCGGCGTCGCCGCGCGCCACTGTTGCACCAACGCCGCCGCAGCGCGTACGGTGGCGCTAATGGTGCTATTGGTGACGCCGACGCTAAGTTGATAGCGCGGATAGACGAAACCGCTTCATCAATTTAGTAGCGTTCTTTTTTATAATTTCAGAACTCGATACGAGATAGATCATCTTCGGAACGAGAGGCGTCGCGACTAATATAATAATTGGTAAGTGGGACTTGCATTTGTCTAACATGTAGCCGCGCTATCGCCGTCGCCACCGCCGCGTCGCCGCGACGCTTGTTTCGCGTAAGCTGATCTCACGCGGGACGAATTGCTCCGCTTTGCTATCTTAAATACGTTAACGCATAAACGCTGCCGCCGTTGCCGCGGCGCTCATTTCGCGTAAAGTTAATCGCGCGCGAGACGAAGCGCGCTCCTTCACTATTTTAATTATATTAATGTTCTAATAATTTTTTAATTGCAGAACGTGATGGATAGAGAACGCAACGATTGCGGAACGAGTACCGTCGCGAGTCATATAATTGGTAAGTGCGAAACTTATGTCGAATATCTTACACTTTTATTTTTTGCTGTCGCAATATGATTAAGTTACGTGTGATTTATATCGAGAACATACGAGGTATAATGACCATGTGATCGTCTTTCTAGTAATTAGTTATAATTATACTTAATTTTAACAACAAGTTGTTTGTTTTAGAACAATTATCTGAATGCCACATACATAAAAAAAGAAGAGAGAAGGAGATGATCAAATATGAGCATAG